AAAAATCAAGAGGACAAGTTCAAATCAAATTTCCGTTTGCCGCCATGGATTCCCGCGCTCATTTACACACTCACACAAGCGCGCAGCGCCGAACCTAGCTTCACTTTTTCCCCGTGCTTTTAGATACGAGCGCTCCGTCTTTATGTCTTTGGTAAAAGCCAAAACAAGGTCGAGGCATTTCGTGACACGACCGGTCAGATCGCGGATTGCCCGACGAATATGGGGCCAATCGCGGAATGATATGATATTCAAGCGGTTTCCGTAGCAGATCCTATTGTACTTAACGCTTCTTTATCTATTTTATTCTAAAATAAACGTTAACAGTTGGGTAACGTTTTAAATATATTAATGTACCAAGGACACCGCGGCCGGTCCTGGTCGCTACGCGGCCCAACCCCCAGAGGGTGCTCTACGCTCTCAAAGGTCCACTTCATGGGCTCCCATAAATCAATCTAAATAATACGGGGTCATCTAGAGTACTATCTTTTATCGATAGCCGCAAAAATCATAAAAATCGGCCCACTAGATCTTTAGAACGAATTGTGACAAAAAATTGAATATTTCACATTGTCTGAGTTGGAGCATATACAAAATCACGAAATATGAAAAACCTGGGTCATGGGTCTTCTCTCCAAATCTGAAGAGAGCGGGTTTGTCTGGGGACTATTTCCTATCGATAGCCGCAAAAATTAGAATTAATCTCATTATTATTCGCAGATTTGTGCAAAATTGAAATTTGAACAATCAAAATCACTGCCAGAGAACAATTTCAAAGCTTTTTCTCGGTGGAGTCCGGAGGGTTCTGGTATTTTAAGTAGCATAAAACATTGTTCAGCACCCCTTACTTTGTGGAGTGGAGTATGTACTCACCCGGAAAAAATTACATCAGCTGTATCTACAACTGAAACCAAGCATTCTGGCAAAAGCTGCTAATTCATTTTAAGAAGAAGGATGTGAATGATTTCAAATCATTCCTCAACTGAGATGGTAAATGGTTTGGTCTGTAATAACCCTGGTAAAAATTGGCGATAAGAGCTCCGTTTCAAAATACCATAAGAATTCTTATAGCCGGCTAAAGAAGGCTACAGAAAATCATATAGCTGGCTGTAGAATGCGGAGAAAATCATACGGCCGATCTATACGAAGCGATAAAAAATTATGCAGCCGGGCTATAGTTCCTATCGCCGGGCTTTACACTTCATCGCCTGGCTGTTGTTTTTTCGTCATCGATTATAAAAGGCTATAAGAAATTGTGTAGGAATTCGTGTGCTTTGGAAATCATTAAGTTTGATACGGAACCACTTTAATATTTATAAAACACACGTTATATTTTCATTTAATACACATTTTTTTTTCATCAATTAAAACGAGAGTAATCCATACAGGATGTGCAAACATTCCAAAATCATGAGTTGAATAACGCCAACTCCGCCAGATTAAATATTAGAGCCTAACACAAAGCGGAGCGGCGACGCACTGGCGCCTACAAACCTAACAGGGATACTTCACGCATTGCGCAACGCGTGAAGTATCCCTGTTAGGTTTGTAGGCGCCAATGCGCGTTCCGCGCTGGCTGCCCGCCTGCCGCGCCGCGCCGCAGCGTGCTACGGCGCTTGAAGCAACTATTTCACTCCAGAGGTATTGCACAGTATCATACGAAACTGAAGGCGCTCTGATAAATTAGGAATGGCAGGCATCCATCAAAAGTACGGAGCTTTCCTTGCAAAATAAATCAAGATACTACGCCCCAAAAAGAGAGCAGTAGTCCAAAAACTCACTAAGTCCTAGCATCCGTAATTAGTAACGTTTAGCATACACTTTATCGCCTGGCTCTTGCTTAATCGCCATCGGCTATAAAAGGCTATAAGAAATTATGTAGCCGGCTATAGAAGCTATTGGAAATCTTACAGCCGGCTGTAGGTCTATGGTATTTTGGAACACAGATTCTAGTGCCAATTTTTACCAGGGAAGACCGTGGAGCTTGAGGATCAGCTTTAGAGAGACAAAATTTATTGGATTGCTTTTCGCCTTCATTTGGATACTTAGGCAAGAATACTTAATTCATTCTGCGTCGACACAGCCTTATCCAAAGAGATTGAATCATTGCGAGCCACGGACTCGCATGCTTTTATGACAGAGACTCTTTTGAAGCGACAACTCCTTTCGACAGAATTGGCCAAAGATCAACACATTAAACTAGCTTTCCCTATTTTCAGGAGTTTTGGGAGACAAAGAGGCAACTGAAGAGGCCCACGACATTTGGAGAAAGTACTTATCAAAAAAGGTTTCATTAGGTGCTTTTTTGGTGGACGACAAAGGCAACCGGGGCCCTATGATTAGTTGCAACGTTCTTGATGTGTCACAGAATGGAGAAGAGGAACCTGTCTCTATGGTAAGAACCTTCAGGCATACTAGCTTCTGCGAAATTCATTTGGTAGTACATCTTTTTATTTGATGTGTGAATTAGTTTTGAAAACTAGTGTCAAAATATCCAGATTTTGCTCCTCTATGCTGAAGTACTTTTAACTCAATTTTGAGTTTTTGGAAGATATTGAATGTTCCTTTTCATAAATTCTCTCAAAAAAAAAATCCTCTCTATTCTAATAAAATCATGTTTAAGACGCTCGATGGACGGTGTGAGGAAAGGGGAGTTCAAGGTATGGGTTTGAAAAGAGTGGGTCTTTACTTTCAGAGGCCTTTGCTTAGCCATGGGCAGCTATATGTGATCCTGTCAAGGTCGACTTCGCAAAAATAATCAAAATTCAGAGTAAGTCATTGAAAATATTGTACGACGGGAAATTTGTCTTTGAAACATCGTTTTGTTATTCAATTAAAATTATGCGCTCAATAACCGTCAACGGGCGATTTTGACGATTTCCCTGGCCGCAAAGCGGCCTTTGATGGGGACGCGCAGCGCCCGGAAGGTTGGGCCGCGTAGCGGCCAGGAGACAGAGTCCCCTAGTATATATAATTTTCCAGTTCCACCTCCGAAATGCGTATGCTTGGATTTTCAGGACAGTTTCCGGACGGAGAAGTGGCGTAAGATATTCAAGACGCTGGCCGCAGTGGAGGAGCAGGTGAGCGTGTTCTGGAAGTTCGAGTGTCAGGCGTACGTTCACGCTGTGGGTCTGGTCGTGGCACCCGAATTCGAGCGACGCGGGATCGGGTTCGAGATGCTCGGAGCCCGAGAGGACGTCTGCCGCTTCACCAACACCCAAGTTAGCGCCACCGTCTTCACCGGAGAGGCATCGCAACGCCTCGCCCTCCGCCACGGTTGGCAGGTCCTTTCCGAGCTGGACATCACCACTTTTACCATCGATGGACAGATCGTCTACTCCAATCCTAAGAGTCCTGTCATCAAGCTCATGGCTAAAAGATACTTCCATTAGACCAGTGGGCGTAGGGGGCCAACGAGCTGATTATTTATGTTGATAGACTAAGCGATGGACAAATAAGGCAAAGAGACGATTGACAGATCGTCTACTCCTAAGAGTCTCGTCCTCAGTAGAGTCCCTTTATGCTGAGAGTCAAGACAATTCGGCTCATGGATGTCACAAACGGGAATAAAGATTACAGAAATTGAACGTTTTTCGTAATCTTTGATCGGCCCATTCTCAAATGCCTTTCTCCGTTCCTCCTCTCATTCCGTTTGTTCCTTGCCGAACCCGTAATTCCCTGGTCCATTCCAGATTATAATCTTTGCAATTGGTGGAAATGTAATCTTTATTCCCGTTTGTGACACTGTGGAGGCCTCAAATACGGGAACCAATCAGAAATGGATTCAAATTGTCTTGACTCTCAGTATAAAGGGACTCTAGTCCTCAGGCTCAGAGCTAAAAGATACTTCTATTACACCGATGGGCGCAGGCGGCCAACGGGCTGATTATTAGCCTTGATAGACTAAAGGATACACAAAGAAGACCAAGAGACAACTGGACATATTTCTGTCAAAGGAAACTATGTGCATTACGACGTAAGCCCTGGTATTCGTATGGACGTATTTCTGCCAAACGGAGCTATGTGCATTGAGACATGACCCCTGATTCTCATAAAAATATGTGCATAACAGGGCTCACGTCATGATGCACATAGTTCCGTTTGACAGAAATACGTCCATATATTCTTATGGGTCCCAGGGCTCATGTCTTAATGCACATAGTTCCGTTTGACAGAAATTCGTCCAACTGAAAGATCGTCTACCCCAGTCCCGCGAGTCCTGTCATCAATCTCATGGCTAAAAAATACTTCCATTGGACCAGTGGGCATAGGGGGGTCCGGGCCAGTGCTTTTAAATAATATGTCAAGATCACAAGCTTAAAATACGAATATTTTTGTTGATATATCCTGACATGAATATAGTCCATAAGATCTCTCAACCAACGATTGATTTTCTGTCCATGGTGGCTACAGATTTTAGCAGATGTTATAAGAGATAGGAAGCACAGATCCATTAGTGCTTCTGGAGGTCTGATTGCATTAGACAGCCAAATTGTTACGATTTTTCTGCGGGAAGGGCAGCGGCCTTCCTCCTTTGCCCTCTTACGCCCAACGTTTTATTAAATATGATATCAATTCGTCACTCAGCTGACTGAAGAGCTTAACTACACTTTGAAATGAGCCGGGGAAAGTATTGAGTTATAATGACGATAGGGCCCATCGTGAAAGTTCAACGTCTGAAGCAGCATGATTGATTTGTTGAAAATGCAAATATCATTAACTTGATTGTCAGAAGGAAATTATAAATATGTAATGACCCTGTAAAAATACAAATTATTTTAATGGAGAGAAATTTTCATTGTCATCTCCTCAAAACCAAATATCATCAAAGCTTCGAGATGCCAGGTCTTACCATGTAACAACTATTACATTTTTCAGCGTATTGAAGAAAAAAAATCTTTCTTTACATACTTTACACCCACAGACACCTAATTCGTTAACATAATTTTTATTCATATTTTGATTGCATTAACACTACTTCTACGAAAATGAAAACAATATAAATGAAGTCATATAAGAGCCAAAAGGCCAAAGTAGGCTCCCTTACATAGATGCTTTCTATCAAAAATGTTTCACGAATAAACAGAATTATATATCACGAGATTCGACCGATTGAGCAATATTTTTCGCCACTTTGTCTTCAATTTTTAAGGGAGGCCAGAAATCATCCTATGCCCTACAACGATTACCTATTCAAGGATTCGTCGTCTGTATTGCTCGCCCTGCGGTATTCTAATTGGACGGAGTTAAACAGAAAGGAACCAAGCCACATCGGGATCGAACCGAGAAAAAGAAGTTTAAAGTTTGGCTCCTGCATAAGACTCAATGTAAAAGATAAACTTCAAGTTCAATTTCTGCAAAATTTGCTCCAACAAAAACTTTGAATTTTTGGCGATAGATGGTAGAGCAGTGGCTGAGTTCAAAACCATTCATAACTCAATTTTTTCCAAAATGTGGGTTGGTTCCTTTCTGCTTAACTCAGTCCAATTAGAACTCCAATTGACAGCGGCTTAATCTGAAGATTTCCATGCTAGCTCTGTTCTATATTATTTAAGTTCAAGTGATGTATTAATTCATAAATAATGTGCAAATTAATTCATTCTCAATTTTAGTAAAGAAGGCAATGCTTTCCCAACATGAATCCGGAAGTCGCAACTGCATGCAAATTTCATGCTTGAGCCCCCCTTCCTCCTTTCATTTTCTATTGGTAAGACTTTGCCGTAGTGAAGGATTTGAAATGTGTAAAGTCTACACTGCCGTGCCAAGGAAAATCGCCGCATGAGCCCTTAGACATTGTCCAATATTCCTTGGTAAACTACGAATTTTCGGGAAAATTCGCGCGAAAATTTTTTCCAATTTTTTAGATGATTTTGTTTGCAATTCCACCTAAAAGTCCTGAAAGTCTCGAGGGAAAATATTCATGGCTTTCCTTAAAAATAGACATTTTATCAAGGGAAATTTGGCAACTCTCGAATGTTCATACGGCGTTTTCCCTTGGACGGCAGTATAAACGTCGTATAGAAAAGAGACATATCGACGGTGAAACTACCAAACCACGTATCTCGTTTGCGGTGTTTAAAAATCTAGGCTCACATTTTATTTTTTTGAAGTAGACCAAATCAATATCATTCTTTGAAATTTTCACAGAATTTTCTCCGCACGAAGAAGAAAAATCACAGAAATTTTCAAGACTGGACGTTAAGTAGCTTTTCATTTAAAAAATGAAGTATGACAGGAAGTCTGCGACGTCGCAAACCGAGATACGTGGTTTGGTAGTTTCACCGTCGATATAGGTAGTTTGACGAAATTAGTTTATCAAACCACTCAACGCGTAAGAAGTTATCATTAGGCGGTAATTAACGTTCATGTATTGTAGATCTCCCGAAACACCCTTTTTTCTTACTCGTTCGCTCGGGAGTTGATATTATGAGCTCAACATATTGGATTTTGTATCTATAAGGGCCTCACCAGAACAAAATGTCCTATCTACGCATCCCTCGGATGTGTCACTGACAACGAGCCGAAAAAGTCAACCGAATTATCACTCACCAAGAAATAGTTGCACTCCACTTGCCCGTCGACGTCCCCTAAAATGCCACTTTCACAGACGATGAACACTGTCTAAAGGATATTTTTTCAGCCCCTTCGACAGGTTAAGGGTAGAACGCACAGGTGGCGATCGGCCGCGTGGAAGGGCACGCGCTCTCCCCTTAAAGTCACGCAAGCCATGCGCTCCAGCACCAAATCGAACATCAAAACCAAACCGCCCAAAATCTTAAGGGTAACCCTCGTTTTTAAACATGAAACTGCTTGTCAAATCACCACCACCACATTGCCTGCAATATTATCCACTACCCCAAGTACTATCTTGTTTACACTCCTCCTGCAGCGGGCTGATTATTGAAATTGATAGACAAAGCAATAGACAAAGAAGACAAAAAGGATTTGGAAGGATCCTATTGGTAGAAGCGGGTGGTTGCAATGGACAAAGGAGGTAGGTAATAGACTAACTAACGGCAACCCACGAGAGACCTGACAGTTAGTCTACCATTTTCCCCCTTGGTCTATGAGAACCACCCATTTCAACCAGTAGGATTGCTTTATACCCCCTATGTCTTCTTTGTCTATAGCTTTGTCTATCAATTTCAATAATCGGCCCGCAGACCTGCATTTTAAAACATCAATGCTGCCGTTTTAAGGAAAAACGCCGTATGAACATTCGAATGTTGCCGAATTTCCTCTCAGAAAATATCTATTTTTGAGAAAACTTATGAATATTTTTCCTTGAAATTTTCGGACTGTTTCGATAAAATTTCGAACAAAATCCTTCGAAAAATCCAAGGAGAAATATTCACGAATTTTCCTGCAAATGAGTCGTTTTTCGGAGGAAATTTGGCAAAGCCTGATGGTTCATACAGCGTTTTTCCTTAGCAAGGCAGAATGTGTGTATGGAGAGGGGGTGAGTTGAGGGTGCCATCATGCCGTCATTAAATGTAAGCAATCTGAGGAATAGCAATTTCTGAAGGAACGCGTCTTAGTTTCAATAGTCGCCAGTAGCGTGGCGTGCTTTGCGATATATCGATTGGTCTGCCACTTAAACATATGGTAAAGGGTCGATGGATATGGTGTGAATATCGATTATCGATCATTCACGCCTCGGCTCTGGTAGACGCGAACCAAGTACTAAGACGTACTTAAATGCAACAGAGCTGTATCCACCACAACATTGACATGGTCCTTGTTTTGCATGAATCCTTATGGGCATCAGAGTCCTAGTCACAAGGAGAGATGGTTCCTTTTGATTTCTGTACGCAGGAAAAAAAAACACATTGGATCTAGAGTCCAAACTCTTAAAAACATCGGCAAGAAAAAATACTCTTGATTCGATCGGATTTTTGCTTAAATCAAGTCGAACCAAGCCTCTTAATTTGAGCGGATTTCCTTTTGATTTAAGCTTAAATCTGATTGATTGAAGAGTCCTTTTTCTTGTCAATGTTTTCAAGAGTCTGGACTCAGATCCAATGTGTTTTTTTTTCCCAGTGCAGTACGTTCAAATAAAGCAGCGGATTCTGAGATCAGCCTGCGTGGCCTCACTGTAAATCGTTCCCGCCACTTTGAAGGGGGTTGATCGAGGTTGGTGCGAGAAGATAAGCGCGTCGCGCGGCGTCGTCGTTTTTCCAGAAAAGTTTTCCAATGTTCTCGGTTAATCGCGTGTGTACGGAGGGCCCCTCTCAACAGAAGCATTCCTCCATGTGCATCTTTTTTCTCGTTCGTCATTTATTCTCCTGTCAAAATCTGACGCATTGCCTATAGCTACTGCCGCGCGACTGAAGAACGTCTCATGTGCCTCCGGACGCTGCTGCCACGTTCCCTATCACCGGCGTGGCGTGTATTGCGATATATCGATCGTTATGCCATTTTAACCTACGGAAAACGATCGATAAACAGGGTGTTCGCAACGAACACCATAATAATCGATTCTTTACCATAGGTTTAAACGGCATAACAATCGATATATCACAATTCACGCCACGCCGCACTGTTTCCTATGATGGAAAACGAATTTTCTCGAAAATTTAGGAGTATGAACACGAGGATATCCTTGGATTATTGATCGACCGATTCGTCGTTTTCGTCGCGAAAGAATGTAATTGCACTTCAATATCGCCGTTTCCCTCGCAAATTGTACTTCTAACAGGAGGAATTGGGGCACTTTCAACTAAAAATTTCTTTGATTTTTGTCCTTATTGCAAGCATAAATCACAAAAATTTTCATAAAATATTGCACAGGCATGATTTTGTAAAAAATTAAATGTTTTGAGTCAATTTTGCAACTTTGGAATGGAGTTTCGTTTTTTCGTCCGGGCAGTGACAAATTATTGGAGGAGATATGACAAACTAAACTTCTGCTGATGTGTTTAAATGGGAAATGCCACGAGATGACGTCACTAGGCGGGGACTTTTTTCACTATTAAAAATATTTTCAGATAATATCCCATATCGTCACCTTCTGGCCAAAGTATCACAAGCGCCACGCGACGTTTACAAATTCCCGCCGCCATTTGATTTTATCACAGAGAAATTGTTGGTTGAATCTGTTTTAAAATTTCACTGAATTTTATCGGCAGCGCAAAGGGAATTCAGAGAAATGTTCGGACAGCTTCGTTGAACAATTTCTCCGGAATAAAATAAAATTGCAGCGGAAATTTTCAAACGTCGCATGGTGCTCGTAATACGTTGACCGATAGGTGACTTTATCAGGAAAAAATTACAAAAAAAAAAAAATTGAGAACTCAGCTTTTTAAGCACTTTCAGATGAAACAACAGCGTGCAAATTCTCCATTGAAACCAAAGTGCAGTCGGGGAAAGTGTGTTTGGCGGGAAGTATAATATCCACAGCTGTTGAGGGAGGTTGAATGCCGTACTCTGGAGCCCGTCCCCTACTGCCCCGCCACCCCCGCCGCCCGCCCGCCGCACAGTACGGCATCCCGAAGGACGATGCGGACAAAAACCGGTCAAAGACACTTAACTTCAAATAATGAAGATAGTAGCACCGACATAGGAAAACCCATTGGCACTATCAAAGTGTAACACTCGAGGAATGAGAAAATGTTATATCTTAGGATATTTTGCGTACTTTTCGAGAAAAGTTCATTTGTAGTTGGCAACCTCGAATTAGCCCTATACTAACAATGTAAAAGCAACGTGAAACACCCCCACTTCAAATTCAAATATCTCTGATAGTCGGGAAAAGACGCAAGATCTCTTTGCTGGAACTGAAGTTGGATATCTGAGGATTAAAAAATATCCACTACCCGGAGCATTTTGCATTTCAAGCGCGAAAAATCTTCATTTGAAGTTGACGTCTTTTTCCCGTGTATTTCTTATGGACCAGTGATTCTGGACCCATTTTTCGCCCACTTTCTACCCAAATTTAAAGTAGTTCCGAGCGTAAAATTTGAAAATGAACCATCTCTGTGAGTCAGAAATACACTGGGAAAAATCTGGATCACAATCAAAATCACATTGGATCTAGAGTCCAGACTCTTAAAAACATCGACAAGAAAAAATACTCTTGATTCGATCGGATTTTTGCTTAAATCAAGAACCAAGCCTCTTAATTTGAGCGGATTTCCTTTTGATTTAAGCTTGAATCTGATTGAATCAAGAGAATTTTCACGTGTCAATGTTTTCAAGAGTCTGGACTCTAGATTCAATGTTTTTTTTTTTTTTTTTCCAGTGTACGGTTAAAATGACAAACTGAATAAAAAACTGAGTGACAAAAAAATATCCAGATGTCGAGTTGTAAATTTTTAGACTTTTGTCCACAGAGGGCGGCACTGTGCGCCGCGCCGGTACACGCGAAAGAGGGGTCGCAGGAGCGTCCTGGAATTTCATCGATTTTCCCGACAACGGCTTACATTGCGACCGCGTGTTCCGAACTAGTTGCGTTGTTTTTGGTCGGACGTCACCGATGAGAGCCACTCTCGCTCACTTCCCTCCCGAAACCGCGGCCCAATGATCGCTCCATACTTTTCCCAACACACAAAAAAACAGGTTCCGATTTACAATCCCTTTCATAGTTGAATGAAATCGAATACGGTACCCATGAATTCCCACTCTTATTGAAACGGTGATAGTGTGGATTTCAGTGCTTGGCTATGTTGTCGTAAACATATGGATGCGTTGTCCTAGAAAAATTCTTCGAAGGCTCCGGTAGATTCTGCTCTCTCGTCGGTCAATTTAGCAGGTAATTAGTTACACTTTCATGATGCCTGATCCTGATAGTCTCATATAATGATAACACAACTTTCTCTCCTTTACACTAGCGAGGTTGGTGACTGTAACACCTACTGCCTTTGACATTTTCAAACTTAAGTTTTTTTGACATTCTTATTTTAATTTTTCCTTAAATTGTCTAAAACGTTGATTTTGCGTTTTCGCCTTGCATGAGGTACCTTTGCAAAAGTACAGCGTTTGCAAAATTTAGTTCAGAGTGATTTTCAACCTGAGCTTGCTGTTATTGAGAAACTACACGTATGAATCACAGAAAAATGTAACATATTGTTAGGAAGTAATTTAATGTGCTAATCGTAAGTTGGGTATCAATGAACAGTGTGGCACGAAGCTGAAGAAAAAAATGAAAGATTGGAAATTTCAGTGAAATATTTTGTGAAATTTCACGAGGCTGTGAATATTTTTCAGGGGCTAGAGTATGCAACCCGCACTCAAAAACACAAAAATAGAAGAAAGTCACAATTTTTACATTTTACAAAACATGGAAAGGAATCGGTATTTTTCAATATATTTCATAAGTTTCTGAAATTTCAAGATTTTATTTGTCATGAAATTTTGCCACCCTGTCCAGGAATAACAACAAAACACGTGCGACTCGCACCAGGAAAATATAAATATCGATGGTTTAGGTGAGAAACCACGTATCTCCGTTGTAGATTTCCGGTCATACTCTACTTTTTCTTTAGAAAACTAGTCACCTTAATTTTTTGGAAACTTCCTTGATTTTCCCTATACATTAGCAGAATGTTTCGTAAAGATTTCAAGCTTCAGATATCGTTGGTTTGTTTCTCTTTGAAAAAATAAAATGCTCAGAGAGAAATTTGAACACCAAAGTTTGGTTGTTACGGGAAGTAAAACACAAAATAACCCTAGCCTTCGGTCGACCCTTGACAGTTTCTAGAGTAAATGCCAGATATAGCTTTCTTGAAGAAATTCAATAAAGAGCGAGTAGTAAATACATATACCAACGTCGCAATCAGAGAAATGCATTTTCCCAATCTCTCCATTGTTTTCTGCGCTCAATTCACCGCAAACTGTACCAAAATCAACATAAAATTTGTGTTGGCTTGTGTTTCACTTCCTTTATTAACCAAATGTAACACAAAAACACAGACATTTGGACGTATTTCTACCAAACAGACCTATGTGGAGGTAAGAAATATGGGGTGTGCTCTAGGAAGCTGCATAAGAAGCAATGTAAAAGTGGGCGTGATTCCTTTTGAAGAATTGGAAAAGCGGGATTTTACATTCGAGACCTATGTGCCAACTAAGTGCGGGAGTCATGAGCCGCGGGCATGGCAAGAGAGCGTTGTGGACAGGGCTCATGAGTTAAAGACTCCCTCTAGCGATCTCCCCCTCGCTCGAGTGCGCACTATCATTGCCGCTGACGTCACTGGCGCTTTATTATTCCCATTCACTCTTACGGCCAGGGAACTAACGAGCACACCCCATATTTCTCACCTCCACATAGGTCTGTTTGGTAGAAATACGTCCATAATCGTCCATTTAATCTAGGAAGGCGCGAAAATTTTGATACACCGCAATGAAGATACGTGGTTTTGCACTTTAACCATCGATTCAAAGAAAACTCACAAAAAGAAACATTGAGAAAAAGACGATCCCTGACTCGGACGCCAAATTTATACATTTTTGATTCTTATTTTTTATTTTAAATTTATTTGTATATCTTTGATTTCAGGTTAAAATGCCGGGCTCTAGGCATAAAATAATTGGACATGTTTTCAGCGGAATTTGCACAAAGATGAACCGAACCAAACAATTGAGCTCCGGTGAGGAGGTGATGGATACACCTCTTAAGAGATGTCTCAACACTTTCGATATCACTCTTTTAGGTTAGTATTCACCATTTCCACGTAGGGCTCGGCAAACACATTGAAAAGTACTAGAGTTAGCTTCTTGATAGTAATTTAACGATTTCATCGGTCATCGATTCAAATGTCCCGGCGTACTTTACTATGAAATAATTCTATTGGTTTGCTGATTTTTTTAAACAATTTTACAAGTATTGTGTGCAGAAAAGACAGTGGCGTGCGGTGGGTTCAGTGACAGGGAAAGCTGTACCGTTCGCCATCCGGGGGGGGGGGGGGGTAGTAACGTAGTCTCTTTCCCTTCCTCCTCCCCCTAGCCTCCCTAGAAAATTCTTAAAAATTTACTATTGCTCTGTTTTTCGGATGAAATCTGATGGAACGTCTTGAAAAACTGTGGCTTTATTTCTTTCTCTCTTACTTATGATTTCGTTTACTCAACTTGTTTCGAATGTTATTGATCATTGGAGGACGGCTCCATGCTCTTAACTCCTAATTTTGCTCAGACCGCACGCCACTGAGAGAGAGTGTCATAAAGACCGACACTTTTGAAATTTGCCGAACTTATTTACACTCTTCCAATATTAGCTTTTGATTTTTTCCAAGGACGAGACATTGAAATCAATCGCCAAATGATATTCGCATGATTAAATTTGATTTTAAATTAATAAAATAATGTAAATTTAAAGCCCTGATTCCTTGTGTATGAGCATGCACTGGGAAAAAACACATTGGGTCTAGAGTCCAGACTCTTGAAAACATTGACAAGAAAAAGGACTCTTGATTCAATCAGATCTAAGCTTAAATCAAAAGGAAATCCGCTCAAATTAAGAGGCTTGGTTCTTGATTTAAGCAAAAATCTGATTGAATCAAGAGTATTTTTTCTTGTCGATATTTTTAAGAGTCTGGACTCTAGATCCAATGTTTTTTCTTTTCTTCTCCAGTGTGTTTCATGATATTTGAATACTTTTTCTGTCCAGAAGTGCATTCGCATTGAAAGCCGTGTTCCATCTTTTGACCTCTGAATCTAACAAGTAATTTCAGTCTACTCTTATTGTAACCACTCTTTTTACATCCAAATATAGATAAAACAAAAATAGGATAAAAAATTAGGAAAAATACAATTCTGCTAATTTTCGCAGTGAAGCATCTCTCTCATCACGGCTACGGCAGACAAATGCAACGCGCTGTCAACGTTGATAATAACGCCTGCAGGGATACAACTATTCGTGCTCTAAAGACGTGCGTGTTGCATACAAGAACAAAATGCAGGCGCACTAGCTCTCTTTACTTTTGCCTTCTTAAAAATGCGCGCCGCATACTCTCACAAATTGCTTTTGATTTTGAGCCGTGTTATCAGTCGTCTCTTAAGCAACTCTTTCCCTTACATAAACTCTGTATGGTTTACGTGGTGCTGAAGGGAGGTTTCAGGTAACCTTACTAAAGACGATCAATTCTTATAAATGACGAGTTCAACTGAACTCCACTCTGAAAATAGATTCACGCAAGATATTACAATGATTTTTCATCATGCATAAATAAAAAAACCAGAGGAAAAGTATTTAGGTTTTGTAAATTTTAAAGTAGGTACTTACACAAAGGTAAGCGGAAATCATGGAATTATGTAGATAATGTGTATTTTGTACTTTTTGTACGGGGGAATTATTATTTTTATTTCTTGCAAGTTACATGATATTCCTCGGAATTTTACTAGCCTTTTTTAATCCCTGGTAAAAATTGGCGATAGGAGCTGCGTTTCAAAATACCATATCATAGGAGTTCTTATAGCCGACTGAAGAGGGCGATAGAAAATCATATAGCTGGCTGTAGAAAGTGGAAAAAATCATACGGCCGGGCTATAGGTCCTATCGCCGGGCTTTACATTCTATCGCCTGGCTGTTGCTTTTTCGCCATCGGCAATAAAAGGCTATAAGAAATTGAGTAGAAATTCTTGTGCTTTGTAAATCCTTAAGTTTGTACGGAATCACCTTAATATTTACAAAACGCACATTATATTTTCCTTTACTACATATTTTTTTTCATCAATTAAAATGAGAATAATCCATACAAAGTGTGCAAACATTTCAAAGTCATTAGTTGAAAGACGCTGACTCCGCGAGATTAAATATATTGGAGCCTAACACAAAGCGGAGCGGTGGAGCACCGGCGCCTACAAACCTAATAGGGATACTACACGTATTGCGCAATGCGTGAAGTATCCCTATTAGGTTTGCAGGCGCCAATGCGCGTTCAGCGCTGGCTGCTCGCCCGCCGCGCCGCGACGCAGCGTACCGCGGCGCTTGAAGCAACTATTTCACACCAGAGGTATTGCACAGTATCATACGAAATTGAAGGCGTTCCAACATATTAGGAATGTCAGGCATCCTTCAAAAGAACGGAGCTTTCCTCGCAAATTAAATCAAGATACTGCGGCCCAAAAAGAGAGCGGTAGTCCTAAGCATCTAGCATCTAGACTAAGTCCTAGCATCCGTAATTAGTTAATTTTAGCATACACTTTATCGCCAGGCTGTTGCTTAATCGTCATCGGCTATAAAAGGCTATAAGAAATTGTGTTGCCGGCTATAGAAGCTATTGGAAATCTTACAGCCGGCTGTAGGTCTATGGTATTTTGGAACACAGATTCTACTGCCAATTTTTACCAGGGATAGTCTATGTCAAAGGCTTCCAAACCTTTCCTCATCATAACGAAAACTGTACGAGACCTCTTACGAAATGACCATGAGCAGTGAGTAGTTGAGCACTGCCGGACTGCCCCATACTATTAACCCAATGGTTCCTAAACGTCTCACCTTCAAACGGTCTCCTAAAAACTTTCCTTTTATCCCTCCTCGCCCAGAACTTTTTTCCTAGAGTCATAAAGAAAATTTCACCTAAATATTTTTTTAAATAAAATTCACTCAAAAAATACTTTTCCACCATATTTTTATTGTAAAGAACAGCTGTGGGTATAATTACCGTACAATTTTCCTCTCAGGATTTCACATTAGATCAAAAGCCCTGAGTTTTTTCGGTTTTCAAGTGATAACTCAAATGAACTTCATTAAGGTGATATTTTGTAGGTGAAAGGACATGAATACAATTCACTCCGATAACCTAGGGGATCTGTAACTCATGAGCTCTGTCCACAACGCTCTCTCCCCATGGCCACGGCTAATGAGTGCCGCGTTCAGTTGGCACTTAGCTGCGTTTGGTAGAATGTAAAATCCCGCTTTTCCATTTCCCCCCAAGGAAATCAAGCCTACTTTTACATTGTTTCTTATCCACCTTCCTAGAGCACACCCCATCTTTCCCACTCATCTATACCTAGTTCCGTTAAGCAGAAATAATGTTTAATTGTATTTTTTAAATCCGTTCCAGGTGTCGGGCATATGATTGGTGCAGGAATATACGTGCTAACAGGAACAGTGGCCCGAGATCTGGCCGGACCAGGAATTATTCTCTCGTTCATTTTAGCCGGCATAACCTCAATTTTGGCTGCTTTGTGCTACGCCGAATTCGGCGCACGGGTGCCTAAAGCTGGCTCGGCGTACGTTTACACCTATATCAGCGTCGGAGAGTTCTGGGCCTTCGTCATTGGCTGGAATATCATTCTCGAGCATATGATTGGTGAGAAATTTTTGCCTTTTGCACGAGAGGACAGGTGCAAATCAATGATGATTCTTAAAAGCTGGCTTCGTTAATTTAAATGCATGCAAAGTAATGGATAGATAGCAATCCTAGGCGAGGCAGTCCACTAAAAATCGATTATACATTACTGGGTCAATTGGAGGACGAGTTGCGTCACCAATAAGTGAGATGCGCCAATAATGCTGATTACGAGAGGTAGTGCTCCGCCTTCATTAAGACGTGTAGGCAAAAACGGCTACCCTCACGTCGAAATAGTTGTATCATTTGAGACTGACCCGAGGCTAAGGGCGTCAGGTTTTTATGTGACTTCTCGTCTAAGTTTGATCTGATTATTGACGATATATCGACAAATTATAGAAAAAAGAGGAGAAAATAAAAAGAAATTCGTGTAATTTTTTTTAATTCCATTTCGGTTTGTTTCTTATTCAATTACGATTGAGCGAGTTTCCAACCATAAGTTGTACTTAAGTGTCACACCATTTCTCTATCTTTTGCCCGAGTTATTCCTTTAATTTACTGATAAGATGATATTTTTTACGAGTAAGTTAGATCAAACTGTTGAGAGCACTGATTTTTCCATATCCATCAAAATTATGAAACACTCATCGCACTTTAATAAAATATCGGGTGATAATTGTTTTCTACCTGATTTGGACAGTCGTTGCGATCAAATCTTTAACGGACCGCAAGGCTTTGAAAAACAAGTAAATAAAATACCGTATAACACCTCAATTCCCTAAAATTTTTTGCAGAATACATAAGATTTAATAAAATCTTTTGAAGCTAAAAAGCTGTAAATCGGCACTTTTTACGTTAATATTATGAAATAAATACTAATTATGTGCAGCATGAATTGATATTGGAAATTTTTCTAGTAAATTAAAAGCATTGGCGGATACGGTAATTTAGCAACACCGGATTTCCTCAATTTAAACACATGGAAATGTATCGATTTTTGGAGGGGCCAGGTGCTCCGACATGAATCTATCATTTAGCATAGCTCTAAATGAGGGAAATTCGGTCTTGCCAAATTGCTAGATCCGCCTCTGATCAAAAGTGTGCTCACACGCTTTATGTTTTCTATAGAATAATAGCTAACGTATTATCTTTAAAATTTTCTTCATTTTTTTTTCTCTGTTGGCAGGATATTCTTTATTTTCAAGCTATAAAGTTGACTTGTTTCTCCTCGAGAAAATAAAATAGGAGCAGAGAATTTGAAGCACCGCAATGAAAATACTCGGTTTCACATTTTGACCATCAATATTAGTGTGGAATCTAAACACTTAATCAAATGTGTAAAGTGAGGAACTGGAAACTGACTTTTTTGTCTCTTGGCTTTTAAAAAGAGGTTGTAATTAATTTCGCAGGAGCTGCGTCTGTGGCCCGCGCTTGGAGTGGCTACGTAGACTCACTTTTGAGTGGGAGCATAAGTGCAGCCACGGTGGCTTCGATCGGCGAACTGCACGAAAAATGGTTGGGTCGCTATCCAGACTTACTCGCCTTCATGGTCTGCATATCATACGCTCTTTTACTAGGTACCAATTTTACACTCTTGTTTTTCTCTCTCGATGAAAACTAAATCTGGAATGAAATTTGGGCGGTTTTCAGTTTCCGAGTCGGTCCATCTTCATTCTCACAGATTAAGTTGTGCTTGAATGAGCTTTTCCCTCTACACATAGTGAAAATTTCAGTTTTATACTAAACTAGGGGGTCCGCCCCCTGGCCGCCAGGCGGCTCAACCCCTGGGACGCTGCGCGTCCCCAAAGGCACCTTCCTACTCTTCTTACTCCCCTTCATCACCCCGTTCATCGAATGTCTTGAAAATTATTCTATTAGAATTTTCCCACTTACGGACTTGGAAATCCAGCCCATCAAGGTCTTACTCCAGTTCCTCATCCCATCCATCGAGCGTCTTAAAAATTATTTTATTCTAATGGAGAGGATTCTAACGCTCAGTGACAGAATAACCGTTCCTCAGTCTAGACGTCTACAATCGTGCTAAGGAAAAACGCCGCATGAACATTCGAGAGTTGCCAAATTTCCATCGATAAAATGTTTATTTTTGAGGAAAGATACGTATGTTTCCTCTTGAAATGCTCAGGAACTACAGGTGAAATTGCAAACAAAATTATCAAGAAAATTGGAAGAAAACTATTTACAAAATGGACCACTAGACAAGGTACGAATTTAGGCAATCTGATACATGTTTCTTACACAGAATTTTGCGTGAAACACGATTCTTACAACGGAAATTGCTGAAACCAACTTTTAACGAAGAATTTAACGTTTTTATTACACATTGGTTACGAGGAATTTGAACTGCCCGCTCACAAGAAACTCAAAGCTCTACGTGAGTCAAATCGCGCACCACAACGGTTTCAGCAAGCTTCTTAATCGAGCAATGTTTATTTCCCACCATGTGTTGTTCAAACTATGAGCAATTAGCTATAGCTGAGCCAAAGCGTCAAGATCGAGGTTGCCAGATTTTTATATCGCAGAGACTGTCATATGAGAACGTTTAGCGCTCGATGTGAATCAAGTAGAGCATTGAGTCTTCATGAGCGGATGGTTTGAATTCACGCATTAAGAATCATTAAATATCTTCGTAAGGTATTGATTTCGGCAATTTCCGCTGAACGCATCGTATTTTACGTGAAATTTTGGTTAAGAAACATGTATCAGAATGCTGAAATTCGTACCTTGTCTATTGGTCCATTCTACCGAAAATTCGTGATTTACTAAGGGAACCTTGGCGGCGCCTGGAGGCTCATACGGCGTTTTCCCTAAGCACGTCAGTCTAGTGCGTGGATCCGTATTTTGTTTGTACTTTTAGATGACCCTGTATAACCGCTCATTCCGTGGTCCTGTCCAGGTATCGGAGTGAAGAGTTCAGCGGTGGTGAACAGCCTGCTGACGCTGGTGAACCTGAGCGTGATGGGGCTGGTGATCGTGATCGGTTTCTGGTACGGGAAGCTGGAGAACTGGAACGCCAACAACCGGGGGTTCCTCCCGTACGGGTTCTCGGGGGTTGTCGCAGGGGCCGCCACCTGCTTCTACGCCTACGTCGGCTTCGACAGCATCGCCACCTCCGGCGAGGAGGCCCAGGACCCCTCCTTCTCCATCCCGGTCGCCACCGCACTCTCCATGACACTTGTCAGCTTCGGTAAATCTTTCTGTCACGTCTCTCGCTTATTGTCCGTCTCTTGACGTCCACTAACGTCCGAAAAAACAATGGGACAATTGTGCTGGTCGCAGAATTGTGTTTTGATGCTTGGCTCGTGTGGATCAGCTAAAAATAATACGATACGTCCAAACAGCAACTCTGGGTTCAATATCAACAGAGATATTCAGGGTCGGACTGGCTCGCATCTGAGGGCGTAGACCCTTGGCTGGTTAAAGGGGCGTAATGTGATATTTCCTGATGGGGCATCCCCTTCGTGGAGAGGGCTTCAGAAAATTTTGGCAAAGCAGCACAAGTTAACGCTATTTTCAGGTTCAAAGTTTATTAATCGTATACAGAGTAAAAATTGTAAAATTGAACGTATTGAAGTGACCGACGACAGACTTCTAAAATTAAAGAAAACATAAAAAATTAAAGCCACTAAACGCATCCAAGCACCATTATTTCCATACGAACCGTGTCATTGCTGCGGTTTACACAAAAACGACGTGGGTCACAACGTGGTCACAATGGGTCACAAAAGACAGACGTGGGTTCAAAAATCCATCCTAAACAAAAAAATCAGGAGAGAACCTGAAAAAAGAAGAGAGAACGAGAATAAACACATCCGAAGATAGGAAAGACGTACTCGGGCCTCTTTTTTAACTTTTCTCCCGAATCTGAGCGACGCCTCATTGGCAGCATACAGCAGGGCATTGAGAGCTCACGCTTCGCGTCATTGCGCCTTCAATTTTTCAGATGCAGCACGGACGTCCATCAAGTACGAATAGTTGTATCTCTGCGCCGTCATTAACGCGCATCCTTTCCCTCGCTTTATTTCCTTATTGTGTTTGTTTGCTTAGTTGCAATGCTAGTGGTTCCTTTTTGCAAAATGCACTCCAATTAACAGCTGGCTCATCATTGTAAGATCCGTTTTATGCAATTATCCGAAAAAAGGAGTCGGCATCATATTCATGATTATTTTTAAAATGTATCGAACTGTACGTAGCGTACTCTGAGGAGGTCAATAATTGATTGGAAAACAATTAATTTTTCAGGGTACATTCTAGTGAGTGCAGCGTTGACCCTCATGGTTCCGTACACTATGATCGATGCCAGCGCAGCCCTTCCCGAGGCATTCTCCATGATGGGTCTACATTGGGTCAAGTACGCAGTAACGATTGGGGCACTCTGTGGTATGACGACCACCTTACTTGGCTCCCTCTTCTCTCTCCCGCGATGCATGTATGCCATGGCACAAGATGGACTCATCTTCGCCTTCCTTGGCAAGATCAATAAAACCACACAGGTATTTCCAAATCCGCATTATTATCCGAGGCAAACTAAAGGGCCGTCTATAGATTACGTCACCTATTTTTTCCGACCTTTTGACCGCTCCCTTCCGCTTCGTCACCTACATGTCACTCTCCTCCAGACTCCCCCCTAAAAATTACGTCATTTCATGAGCCCCCCTTTGTGCGTTGGTGTGGGGTTGCAGCGAACTATTGCTACTTTTGCAACTTTTGCAACTTTTGCATTTATTCATACGTTAAAATGACGCGGAACACTCAGGAAAAGTTTAAATTTCACTATTTTACTTGATACAGTGACGTCAATTTTGCTAGACCCTCCCCTTCAATTTTTTTCATTTTTCTCCCCATTTTTCATTTTACCCCTTGTCATTACAAAATTAAGCGAGAAAGCAGCGTTAGTTCGCTTCTTGAAACAGACGCACAGGAATGCTGTAGGATCACANTCTCTTGTCTCTGGTTGCAGCGAACTATTGCTACTTTTGCAACTTTTGCATTGATTCATACGTTAAAATGACGCGGAACACTCAGGAAAAGTTTAAATTTCACTATTTTACTTGATACAGTGACGTCAATTTTGCTAGACCCTCCCCTTCAATTTTTTTCATTTTTCTCCCCATTTTTCATTTTACCCCTTGTCATTACAAAATTAAGCGAGAAAGCAGCGTTAGTTCGCTTCTTGAAACAGACGCACAGGAATGCTGTAGGATCACATAAAAAGGGCGTCAAAAATGCAAGAAAAAGAATATAGATTTTTATAATTTTGATCTGGGCCCTTTTGATTCAATTGAGATGAGAAGTTAAGACATGTAGGCATCCCTAGCCTTAAAGGAACGGTTGAAGAGCTTGCCTCTTGAAACTTTCACGGGGGCATCGACCCTCATCCCTGCGTCCTTATCAAGCATTGCCGAAGCGCTCCACATAGGCACTTTTATCATGAAACGTAAACATCGATTTTTCCAGAAAGAGATAAGCCACAAGAACTGCGTTTCTTGATTAAAGAGATATGGTGATTGATTTTACGTTTGTTCCTAATCATATGACAACAAACGATGAAAAATAAAAGTTCTGGCTCAACCACAAAAACAACCACCTGTATATGAAAACTAATGGCGAATAGGGGTGGTTTCACGATAACTGGAATAGTTTTGTTACTGTGACAGACAACACATTTTTCGGTCTTATTTTAGTAGTAATGGTAATCACTCGGATTTTTTCGCATTCATCTTCAAAGGGTTACGTATTATAACGCTTTCTAATGATTTATCACTCCACTTCTCAATTAATATTATGTACATTCCAAAAATTGCTGTCTGTTACGCGGTAAAAAGTCAGCGTAACAGACAGCACATTTTCGGCCATTTATATATTAAAATTGAAAAGTAGAGCGATCAAATCATTGAATCAAGCGATCATTTGAAAACCGTTATAATTTGTAACCCTGTGTAGATTAATGCAAAAAAAAAAAAAAAAAATCGAGTGATTATCATCACTACGAATAATATGACCGAAAAATGTGTTGTCTGTTACGGCGACAAAACTATTCCAGTTATCGTGAAACCACCCATAGGTTGCTTCTGAAATGATCCGGAAATTGTAGTTTCTCATCGAAAACTAGCATTTCCCTATGCTTGGGGACTCAAAAATCGAACGGGTAATCCTGGAAGATAAATCAGGAATCCCGTTTAATAGGGTTGAATCTTGTAGATTAGTCAAAAATAATCACATTTTTACCCACCCGTCAAGTTTTGAGCTCCTCCACTCGGGAACGCTCTTTGCAATCAATTTCTTTTAGCATTACCACTATTTTGAATATATACATATATACATATATTTATTTATTTCAAAACTAAAAAGTTCCAAAGCAAAGTAGTTGAAAAATTAATGACCCTCTGAAAAACGGTGACTGTATCCCTAAAGCAAGCAAATGTTGGAACGTCATTTTTCATGAGAAGTCTTGATTGTATCCATTACACGTTGACATCCACTTTTTTTAGAAATTACTGCAAAAGTTTTGGACTTCAGCTCTTATGACTGTGTCTAATCCATATTGTGCCTCTAATTTTTCAGAAATAAACATAATTAATTTTGAATTTAACCTTTAATGTACCCATAGGCAACCATTGCTTAAATCTAGCATTTGTAAGTATTTAACCCAACGATTTTCGCTTTGAACTTAGACCACGATTTATACAACTAAAATTGTTGAAAGTAACTACTAACCAATCAGATACAACGTTTTCCGAAGCAATTCAAAATCCCTGCTCAAGAGGAAAACTTGAGTCAACCGCATACTGAACGTTAAGCAATCGGCTCAGCTGTTGCACGAAAAAAATTAAATCGCTGATTTAACAATTAATTTGCTAAAAAAATGTGACTGTAATGTTTCAATGTAGATTTTACACCAAAAAAACGCTACTTTAACCACTATTGTAAGCTAATTTAACCACGTGGGTGGTTGAAGTAGCATTTTTTTGTTGTAAAATCTACATTGAAACATTGCAGTCACTTTATTTTAGCAAATTAATTGTTAAATCATTAATTCAACTTTTTCCGTGTGCACATTGTGTCCGTGTTCCACAAGTCCGTGCTCTACTATCAAATGCACTCATCAAATGTAAGATGGCGGAGATGCGTACTATTTTTCGCGCAAGTCCGCTATCAGAAGTTGGTGGGCCGGCAAATGTTGATGAACAAGCATTTGATGAGTTCATTTGATGGTGGGACACGGGCTTTACACATTGGAACTTCGAAGTTCGAACTACATGAGATGGGAAACGGGGGAACGCGACGACTGAGGCGCGCCGCGATGAGTGGTTTACGCGCAATGCGTGAAGTATCCAGGCAGTCTTGCAGGCACCAACAGCGCGCGCCGCGAGTACGCGCAATGCGTGAAGTATCCAGGCAGCCTTGCAGGCATCAACAGCGCGCGCCGTGAGTACGCGCAATGCGAGAAGTATTCATTCAGTCATGCAGGCGCTAACATGCACTTCTCGCCGACCGCAGTGTTTAGCGCGAACATTCTAACTCGCGCAGCGTTATCCAACTTGTGATTGTAAAGTACTTTGCACAGGTACACTCTAAATGGACCCTTTGTCATACTTAGCTAAAACATTTTTAAAAAAAGGAAAATTAAATCATATGGTTTCATTACATTGTTGCCACGTTAAGAGAAAGCTTATCAACGATGAAAGCCAGAAACAAAAATGCGATGGCAAAAACAGCCATTGCAACATTTGCTGCAAAATCACATGCCATGGTATTGGTTCCGTTTTTGACATCAACAAACACATTTCCAGGTTAGAAAGCGGCAGAAAAGTGCAGTATGTTACTTAAGCTCTGTTTAAATTGGTTCTCTACACCTCACGGCTGTTTTGTCTGAAACTACGTCATTTTTTGGACACTTGCTGCTTTTTCATGACTGCTCGTTTTCATACAAATAAGACGAATTTTGCTATATAAGCTATTTTAGTGATTTCATCTATAAGAGATTGGACGAATCTTGAAGGAAACTTGATTGCGAAAATTTGAGAGTCACGGTTTTCCTTGATATCACGGCAGCAGTGCACTACCAAACAGGAAGTGCAAGTATACGAGGTCACTCGAGTCTAAGAGGTTACTCAGTTCATTTAAGTCGAAGAGTTTTGTTAATCTTTCACAATACTGCTGTGCTAAGGAAGTATACGTTGTATGAACATTCGAGAGTTGCCAATTTTCCTTCAATAAAATGTTTATTTTTGAGGAAAATTATGAATATTTTTCCTTGAAATTTTCAGACGTTTTAGATCAAATTACAAACAAAATTATCTCAGAAATTGGTAGACAAAGATTTAAAAATTTTCCTGAAAATGAGTGATTTGCCAAGAGAAATTTGGCAACGCCTGAAGGCTCATACGGCGATTTTCCTTAGCGCGGCAGAATATGTTGTTAAGGTGTGTCATATATATTTTATTGCATTCGATGTTGTAGGTTCCTGTTGTAAATCTCATCATATCAGGATTGATGAGCGCCACGATTGCACTCTTATTCGATCTAGAAAAACTGGTGGAGTTCATGTCGATCGGAACATTGTTGGCGTACACCATCGTTAGCGCCTCGGTGATAGTTCTTAGATACCGTCCGAACACACCGCCTCCTTCTAATGATAACGTCAGCGTTAATGACGTCTACATAATGTCACCCTCTCCTGGGGTAGGTATCCTCTTCTAAAATAATGAAAACCTTGCTACGATCTTCTTGCAGTTTTCGCATGGATTTTTAAGCGCTCAGCTGATAAGGAGCGCTTTTGATTTCAAACTGCCTCTATTTTCTGAAAGCTTCCTTGATTTTTCCTCTCTACACGAACAAACTTTTCGTGAAAATCTCAAACCGTGAAGTTGACTTGTTCCTCTTCGGATAAATTAAATAAAAGCAGGAATTTCGAAACATCGCAATGGAGATACGTGGTCTCGCACATTAGACATCGATATCCTTGTCACTGAAGGATCTTAATGTGGCTTTTTGTAACAAGTGGTTTGCCTACCTTGTCAACTGAAGGAGAAACTGTGTTTGCCTTGACTGGTGGAATTTTTTATTTCTTCCTTTTCACCAGTAATTTCACGAATGGCTCCAGGCCGAAAGGCTTCCACGAAAGGCTTCCAGTCTTTTGACTAAGCAATGTACTAAATTCAAATTAAAAACTTCTCTTCAGCCTTATGAGGCTTTTGTATGCAAAGAACGTGCTTGCGATTGAATTTGCCTATTTCTATGATCAGGTGGAGGAGTTCAAGGTTTGCATGGGTGGACGCCTGAAGCCCAGCTTCGATTGGCTGGAGCCGGTAGTGGGTTGGTGCAAACCTGGCGAAGCTGTGTCTGTTGCCGTTTTCATTTTCACCTGCTTCAGCGCCCTGCTCTGCTTCCACTTTCATTGGGCCACCGCTCAAATGGAGAATGGCGCGTGGTGGACCGTTTTCGGCTGCGTCTTCCTGATTGCCGTCATGCTCTTCTGTGAGTCACATAGTAGTCATTCATATCGTTCAATGGCTCATTTACGCTCAGAGACAAGAGACCCTCCACTGGCCTCCTAGCGACAGCTTTTACTTTCGGGGTTTCAACAATTCCTTATGGACAATTATTAGCGAGCAACAGTCATCACCCTATTTTCGGCTGTTGACTTACCTACATGGTCGATGATGAGCTTCGGATGACGTCATGAGCCAAAAAACTTTCCCAAACGTCGGCCATTTTGGCTTGTTTGCAAAACGAAACTGCCAACACGTTGTTGAACATTTACCATGTAGGTAAGTCAACAGTAGAATGCTGAAGTCCCGAAAGTAAAAGCTTCCACCATGGCCAAGATACTAGTGGAGGGTCTCTTGTCTCTGTTTACGCTGGTGAGAGAATCGTGTTCCGATGCTGGATTCTTGTAGAATAGCTGACAATAAAAAGAGCTGTATCCAAACAGCAACTTCCTACGTTCAACATTGACCGAGATATCGCGCTTTGAAAAATTCGGTTTCTGACGTCGTCCACCGCGGTAGTGACACTCTTGGTTTCTACCACCTTGCTTTCAACCGAGTTTCACGTTGAGTAGCCAGTGAAAATGTGTCTCCTTTACAAATTAAAGCAAGGTGGATGAAACCAAGAGTGTCACTACCGCGCTAGATGACTTCATTAAACGAATTTTCCAAAGCGCGGTATCTCGGATAATATTGAATGTAGAAAGTTGCTGTTCGGACGGCTCTTATTATTTTTAGCTAATCTCTAAGAGTCAATGATCAAAACACGATTCTGTAACCAGCGCAACTGACCCATTCCGACAAAATTACCATTTAAGTAAAACGTTAGAAAGCTAAACATACCTAGTCAAACATGTGATGTACGCGTTTGTCTCTTTATGGCAAAATGACCTTTAGATTGGATCGCTATAGATACATACAGTAGCGTAGCCGACGATTTTGCATGGAGTACGTTGCATTGTTTATAACATGCTTTTTCACAGAGCCTTCCAAAATAAGGGCTGACTTTCGCCCCTTTTTCGGTATTCGATTTGACCATCGAACCAAGGTTGAAGTGGAAGCTTATAATAACAGAAAACTCAGGAAAAAATTTCAAGATGAGTATAGGAACCGTTTTCGAGTCACGGGGGGGGGGGGGGGGGGGGGGCAAAGGGGTCAAACTTCGGTCTTATTTTTCGCTATTTTCTTGTTGAATTGATGTGTCTACAGCGTTGTTATCGTTGTTTTCACATGTTATACAGACCAACTCCTACGTATTTTTACACGCAAAATCAGATTTTAATGTTGACGAGTCGACAGATCGATCGGTTCTATCGATTTTTTAAGATTCGTTACGAAAAATCAAAGATTTTTTGAGATTGAAATTGTTCACTTTTGATTCATGGATGACTAAATGCACCAAATATGACTGCAGTACACCGACACCTGCGTATTTTTTCTTGAAGAATCGATTTTTGACGTTAACAAGTCGATACGTCAATCGTTTATATCGAATTTTTGAGATTTTTTAGGAAAATCAATGATATATTGGTATTGAAATTGGTTATTCTCCATCCGAGAACAACCAAATTTTGAGTTGGAACACATATCCGATCGGGTCGATCTCCGGTGGCCCCCAGTTTTGGCTCCTTGGGGGCCAGGGGGCTGACCCCCGGCTTTGGCTCCTTAGTTGCCAGGTGGGTGGCCCCCGGCCTTGGCTTCTTATAGGGGCCAGGCGGGCGGCCCCTGGCTTTATCTCCTTAGTTGCCCACCGCCTGGTTGATTGAGCCTTCTGGATGATTGCTCTTATTCGTACCCCGTTGCCTCAAGTCAATGATTCGCCTTCAAATGGCAGGGTATGCAAAATGACTGCCGTAATGCACGAATAGTGGTATTAGAATTTTGCATTAAGTTTACGGATGGATTTGGAGGCGCTCTTATGTATCCATTGTGAGTGGCCTTGTACAATGATATGGCCCAAAAAGTTCATAATTTTGGGTTTTAAATCGAGCGGCATATTTGAAAAATGCCAAGGAATATTATTTTGAAAATATAATAAGATTTTTTTTGGTCTCTACATCTTATTTTTATAGAAGAGAGCGCAGTTGGCCGGTTCAGGTTGTGTATTTTAAGTCCTTTGGTTCGGTCATCGTATTCTGATGCGAAACTAAAAGCGTCGCCGGTTACAAGGTCGCAACTCACTCAAAAGTGGTTGTGAATTTAAAAGTTTCGCACCGATAAAATGAGCTTTCTTTGATTAATTAGCAATAATCAATATTGAAGAAAAGTTACTTTGTCCAGTGGTCCATTAGGAAAACGTAAAGCATGGATGGATATGGATGGAGCATCGATGACCAACTAAATCTTATCTGATAAGGAATATTAAGTGTGAAACCCTTTTTTCAGTCTTTGAATAATCCAAATCCACCAACAAGTTTAAAACGCTAATTGCAAAAATGCGTATCTCTGGATGAAGTGTCGATTCTTAGTGGCAAAAACGCGAATCTCGGCATTTCTGCCGTATTTTCTAAAAGTTCGAGAAATTATTGAATCTGCTAATGGAGTTTGAAAAAACATCTTATTCTTGCTATCCTTAAGAATTATTACCCGTCCACCAACAATAAAGAGGAATGCAGACAGTTTTTTCACTCTCCTGGAAAATCGTGTTTTCCGAGATTCGCACTTCTGCACTTTCACCATCGATAAAGTGCTTTAGTGTTGTTTAATTAACATTTGCACAGGCTGTGATTGTGATTGTTCAGAGAGTAATTTTTTTTTTTCGTTAATTTCTTCACAAATATTCTCAGGTATATATGTTGCAGGCAATTAGCAATCGCCGGCAAATTGCAATCTATTCGCGGAGAATAACCAATTTCAATACCAATATATCATTGATGTTCCTAAAAAGCTCAAAAATTCGATATAAACGATTGATATATCGACTCGTTAACGTTAAAAATTGATTCTACAAGCAAAAATACGTAGGTGTCGGTGTACTACAGTCATATTGGGTGCATTTAGTCATCCATGAATAAAAAATGAACAATTTCAATCTCAAAAAATCGTCAATTTTCCGTAAAGAATCTTAAAAAATCCATATAACCGATCGATATATCGACACGTCAACATTAAAATTCGATTTTGCGTATAAAAATACGTAGGAACCGGTGTGTATAACATGCGTAAACAACGATAACATCCCCGTAGACACATCAATTCAACAAGAAAATAGCGAAAAATAAGGCCGGAGTTTGACCCCTTTGCCCCCCCCCCATAACTCGAAAAAGGCTCCTATACTCATCTTGAAATTTTTTTCTGAGTTTTCTGTTATTATAAGTTTCTACTTAAACCTTGGTTCGATGGTCAAATCGAATACCGAAAAAGGGGCGAAAGTCAGCCCTTATTATGGGAGGCTCTTTGAAAAAGCATGTTATAAACAATGCAACGTACTCCATGCAGTGACATTTTTTTGCTGAGTTTTCTGTTATTATAAGTTTCTACTTAAACCTCGGTTCGATGGTCGAATCAAATACCGAAAAAAGGGCGAAATTATGGGAGGCTCTTTACCGCGTATGCGGGTAGTTTTTCTTGGTGATTGACGGTCAGGTTTTGCCCGGAGAGAAACCTAGCTTACACTTCCTAGATTATTACAATTTTCAGTGAGTAAACAACATAAATCTAAATTAAAGATACTGTTTCAGGTTTACTAGTGATAGAGGCTCATGAGCAGAATAGAACCGGGCTGACGTTCATGGTGCCCCTAGTTCCTTACGTACCCGCTTTGAGCATTCTTTTCAACGTGGAGCTCATGGCAAACCTGAACATCTTAACTTGGCTCCGGTTCATGATCTGGATGATTTTAGGTAAGTTTTTTCAACTTTTATGTTCGCTCTCATTTTCATCCATCATTAGGGATCATTTCTAGGAGGAAAGAGATGCTAATGCCACTGCACTACGGGCACGTGAGGTTTTTCACTTGTTCTACTTTGCTAAACTGGTGGTGTAATAACTACTTTTCATGCACTTTATTTTCACTATCGTATAGGAACCTCAGAGAACTGTGCAACAATTTCAGAAATAAAATTGCAATTTAACGAAATGAAATTGCAAATTTTTGTACCACAAAGTTGCAATATTTTACATTAATTGGTCTATGAGTGCCGAATTTGAAAGATCAATACAGTATGTTTCATACGTTACACCAAGATAAGCAATTTGCAAAGCAAAAAAAAGTATAGTAAATTATTTTTTTAAAAAATGGAATAATAGAAGCCCCTTCAATTAGTGAAAAGGCAACATGCGCAACATTCTTATACAGTTGCAGTAATTTTCAATGTAATCATGATTTGTTGCAGCTTGTTTTACGATGATTGGGGATCGGGGAAGGGCGGCCTTATGTGTATAGAATAGGTGCTAAAATTTGATTATTAGATTGTATGCCCTCGTTCCTATTTTGCAGGGTTACTGGTTTACTTTTTATATGGTATCCACCACAGCAAGGAAAATGATACCACTTCCTCTTACTCGGTGCTCATGACGTCATCAGAGGCGACGAAATCAAAATGGGGCTCGATTCCTGCTCCGGTCACAATTCCTGTCACGAGGAAAAGAAGGTCCGGGAAGGGAGATCGCCAGGCTATCGTCAATAGCGACGACGATACTGACAGCTCGGACTAAATTCAATCATATTCAACTAGGTATTCGATTCGGACTGGCCGTACGAAAATTATTCCTCTCGCCTTTTGACTTACTATTTCTGCTATAGGTGCACTCCTTGCAGACACAGAAATAAGAGAGGAAAGGAAGTTTGGTGTCATTTAGTACATTTATTAAAAAAGGAGCCAATTTTTTGGGGAACAAATATCGCTGGTTGATGAGATATGGTGACCTGTTCAGTTCACATCGACGCTCGGGGGAAAACATGGGAGAGAGTAATTACGAAAACTTGATTTCGATCCAATATTCACTATCCAATTCATCACTGCCGACTAATGAATCAATCGTCAAAAACATAGTCTGTTTTTTTATTTAATGTGATGAGGCTCTTTTATAATCCAAAATTTTACAGGCAGTGAAAGTAAATCATCTCGAAACATGCAATTTTAAAGTCACGAGGAGCCTCTGGGCAGGCCTAAAGCAGATATAATAATTTAAAAAATAATTCGCCGTTAAATTGCAATTTGAAATTTTGCAAGTTTTTCACTTTTAAAAGCGAGCTATCTAATTTTCCAAGGACTTGGTATTTTACTCTAAATACCGTCAATTTTTAAACTTTAATTCAACTGAGTCAATGTGAAAGAAGAAGGTGCTATATTGTCTTTGGAGTTTGCATGCTTATTAAAATAGAAGTGCGTAAAGCCATCAGCGTTATTAATAAATACAACTGACACATATCGATACTTTGGGCCAATCCATGAAACAGTATTCATGACATTACTTTTCTTGCACTAATAAACTTGAAAAATATCATGTACCTAATAATTATGCTTCAAAAAACCCTTCGAGATTTTCTAACATCCTCTAACGAAAAAGCAAGGTAAAGCTGACTGATTTTCTTCGATGTATATTTAAAGCTAAAAATATAAAATGACAAGAGAACTAGTTTGTAATGGGGGGAGGGGATCTAGATTCAATCATAATTTCATATATTTCCATAATTTGATAATTTTTCATTTGATTCGGTCAATATTTTGTCAGCATTTGATATGAGTAAGTACCACGTGAATGGTGCAATGGTTTTGAAGTGACCATAATGATTTTGTCACGTTGAAAGGGATGGACGGTTTGCAGAATGCCAAAAAGGGTGCCGATAAATTCCAGGTGTGAAGCCCAATGTCAAGAAGGAGAGGATCACAATTCAGAAGGGCCAAAAATGACGATGGAAGGACCAAATATTAATGGAAGTACGATCAAGATATAGAATAGAAAGAAGGTGTAGGATAAGATGGAGTTGCGAGTCGTTTAGAGATCAAAGCTCATAAAAGTGGGGCTTTCGTGCAATTTCAGAATTAAAAGGAACATACTATAGTTATAAGTCCGCAATTAACTTCCAAAGGATAGGCATTAGTAGCCTGAAATTACGGTATCCTGCTTTGAAACTTGATGTTTGACCTTTACCATGCAGTGTTCAAATGCTTTACTGAAAACCTCAAAAAGATCAATTTTGGAGCGATGATTACGAGTTTATTTCCACAATTTTATCTCGTATCGCTCTTTTATCGACCATCGACCAGTAAATCATTTTTAAGACGCGTAAAATCCTTAAATATTTTATGTCAATTAAGCTAGCTAAGGTGCTGAAGAGAGGCACGGGAAAAAAACCTAGAAATAGTCACCAGAGATTCTGGTTGTATCCTTCCCAGGGAAACGAAGTAGCCTAGACTTTCGGAAGTGTTTACCATTCATGTCGCAAATAGTCAGGAAATCTAGTAGCAATTCCTTGACTTTAGGTGCTGTGCCTGAATCCTCAAGGAGCGTTTCGTTCATGAAACTCCCAAACAACGTATCTCGGTTGACGACATTGCTGACCTCCTGTCATACCTCATTTTCTAAATAAAGCAACGCTCAACGTCAATTCTTAAAAAGTTCTATATTTTTCTTCCCTTTGCGAAGTGAACTCTGGGAAAAAATCCAGGAATAATTTTGACGTGTTCTTCCTCCAAAAAATAAAATAAGAGCGGGGATTTTCAAACACCGCAAAAGAGATACTTGGTTTGGGAGTTTCAGCGTCGATATGCAGAGTCAAGTCATTCCCTAGGTTTTTCCCGCGGAGATGAAGTAGTTCACAATTTTTGTGGATTCTGTCACTTTACCAAGTATTTTTCTACTTTTAGGAATTTCTCATACGATTCACACCATCAGGTGAGAGAAACCACGGAATAAAAGGGTCAATACAATTACTTTAGTTTCATTCTAAATATCGGCATGTCACTGAGACTTAAAAGTAAATACTTTGTAGTTATGTTATTTATTGATGAATCAATGAATTGCAAGTCAGTTCTACAGGTAAGGACTCGATTGTGTTGTATTATTGTTTTATCGCGGATGTTCCAGTCAACCTGTTGTATCAGTGTGCTTCACTGAATCGTGAGCTGATACAATTTCAGTATACAGATTACAAGTCGAAATACTTGTGACCACCTCTTGAATCAACTACAGAGGCGTGGTGTGCTTTGTAAAATTGTAACACAGTGGTAGATCTGTCATTTAAACCTATGAAAAAGGATCGATAAACAGAGAGTTCGCAACGAACACCTTAACAATCGATTTTTTACCATAGCTTCCAATGGGGAAATATCGATATTGGATCATTCATGCCTCGTAACTGAAAAACTTTTCACTTGAACGATCATGAAAATAGATGATTCAGGTTTAGTGAATTCTAGTCATAAAGCGCACTATTTATGCTTATCATTGTATGAAAATCAAACAATTTTTTAATCAATGTTAATTTTTAAACGATTTTATTGTTAATTTAATGGTGCATATTTTAATGTTGAATGGTCCCTTCTGAAATACTGAAGTTGGGAAAGTTACCTATATTTTTATTCAGGAACGTTTTTATTGTAAATAGAATTATACAGATATGCGAAGTGATTGTTGTAGCCTGGCTAATTACATCGTGGCTAATAAACTTATATGTTTTTAAAAAATACAGAAAATGATATTATTAATTCAAGACTTATTAAAGATTAATGCTGATCTTTATTTTTTATTTATTATTTTTTTTTTTTTTACAAAATATAGGCACAAGTGAATCCCAATACTCTTATGAATAAATATATTCGGCTTTCAAAAAGCCAGTAACACTTTATAAAAATATATACTAAATAATGTAGTAAAATGCAAATGAGTCACTCACACTGGTCGTGTAAAATCGCGTTCTGGTGATTTAAGGGCTGCGATAGGATTGCGCGAATGCCCCCATTTTTACCTTTTTTGAGATGTACAGGATTGCGCGAATTTTTCTGGTAGTGACGACTCACATGCTTGCACGAATATTCAAAATTCAACGGGGAGGCGTTGTTCTCGCAACCTCGGTAGTTTGTGGTAGATAACGACATCGCGGAAGAATATTCATGCCCTCCTCACTTACGGGCACCTCTCTTCGATTGACAGCCCTCGCAGCACGAATAGCCCAGAGAGCTTTCATAGACATTTAAAAAGTAAACTAGGGACCTGCGACCGCTACGCGGCCGCCAAATACTGAAGAAAACTACATGTAAAAAAACGTAGAACAACCATGTTCAAGTTTTTTAAGAGATAAATGCATTTAGACCCCGACGGGTGCACCCGAAAGAAAGCGTATATTAATCTCTGATTGCAGCAATATGCACCACTTCTATGTTTTCTTTTTAATAGGTAAATGTTTTTTAAAAAGCTACACACAGTTTTTCTGAATAGTTTCCGCGCATTTGCCTGAATGATCTCAAATAAAAGTATCGAAAATTTCNACCACTTTGACCTCTTTTCAAAATCAGAAAACTTACTCAAAATATGAGAACTTTGCAAGACGAAGCGGAGTTTGCAAAATTTTAACTCGAAATAGGTGATGGTGTTTACCTTTTTGTTAAAAAAGGCCATGCCGGAATTCATTGATTTACCGACAAGCAGTATTACTGAAACTGATATTATTACTGAAATTTATGGAAAAGATAGCTTCCTCATGTTCGAACGTAGATTTCACAAACTGCGCAATTCTGGCCCCTAAAAATAAGCATTGCAATGAAATTAACGACAAGGTTGTTGAAGTTCTTTCAGGTGTCTCTAAAACGTACTTCAGTGTTAACAGGCTCATTGTAGAGGAAGAGGGAGAGGCTCTCAATTTTCCCCTCGAATTCTTTGACAGTCTTAATCTTAGTGGCTTAAACTCACACTTTTGGAGGGGGTTTTTGTCATGCTTTTAAGAAACCTCAACGTTTCTAAAGGTTTATCGAATGGTACCCGATTAATCGTCTGGAAACGTTATGAAAATTGTCTTGATTTGCAGGTCATTTCCGGCGAGAAGGCCGGTGAAAGAATTTCACTGCCAAGAATTGATTTGTCACCTGCAGACTCCTCTCTCCCTTTCTCTTTTAAGAGGCGACAATTTCCAATTCGCATTGCGTTCTGCACGACCATCATTAAAGCTAAGGGTCAAACACTGAAGCGAGTCGGAATTTGCTTACCCCAAACAGTTTTTGGCCATGGTCAACTATATGTTGCACTCTCACGAGCTACATCGTACAACAATTTTGAAGTCCAAATTCTTCCCAAAGGCAACCGTACAAAAAACATCGTGCACAAAGAGGTGCTTCGATCTTTTATAAATCCCAAAAGCTTCATAGTCATTAGAAAATTATCAAAAAATAAAAATTAAAAAAAAAAATTAAAAAATAACACAAAAAAACGAAAAACTAATAATGCAAGCTTTTTATAACATTTTTCGGTAGAATGGCAGTCTCCACCCTGTAACGCAGAGAGGCAGTTAAATTCCTTGATCTTCTGCCGCAGAATCATCATTATTAAATAGATTCAACTAATCGCTCCGATTCCAAATAAGCTACTACACCACCATTGCTAGCTGTGGAGGGCGCCCGTAGGGCGCCCGGAGCAGCTAGTATATACTAAATAATGTAGTAAAATGCAAATGAGTCACTCACACTGGTCGTGTAAAATCGCGTTCTGGTGATTTAAGGGCTGCGATAGGATTGCGCGCGAATGCCCCCATTTTTACCTTTTTTGAGATGTACAGGATTGCGCGAATTTTTCTGGTAGTGACGACTCACATGCTTGCACGAATATTCAAAATTCAACGGGGAGGCGTTGTTCTCGCAACCTCGGTAGTTTGTGGTAGATAACGACATCGCGGAAGAATATTCATGCCCTCCTCACTTACGGGCATGTCTCTCTTCGATTGACAGCCCTCGCAGCACGAATAGCCCAGAGAGCTTTCATAGACATTTAAAAAGTAAACTAGGGACCTGCGACCGCTACGCGGCCGCCAAATACTGAAGAAAACTACATGTAAAAAAACGTAGAACAACCATGTTCAAGTTTTTTAAGAGATAAATGGATTTAGACCCCGACGGGTGCACCCGAAAGAAAGCGTATATTAATCTCTGATTGCAGCGATATGCACCACTTCTATGTTTTCTTTTTAATAGGTAAATGTTTTTTAAAAAGCTACACACAGTTTTTCTGAATAGTTTCCGCGCATTTGCCTGAATGATCTCAAATAAAAGTATCGAAAATTTCGACGCGACATTTTCGTTCGTTCTATTTAATGACTCAAAAAAATTAAATATCGTCCGAGTTTCTGAATCTTCACAATGAGGATACATATTTTCCTTTTAATTATGGTTAAAACTAAACCAGACAGTCAAAAATTACGTAGGCACGCGCTAATATGAGTCTCGCATCAACTGATCGACTGCAGTGAGTTTGGCGCAATGCGAGAAGTAGTCATGCTGTCTCGTAGGCGCTAATATGGGCGGTGCGCGGCGGCGGATGGGCCGATCGCACGGTTTTGCGCACTGCGTGAAGTATTCCTAAAGTCATGCAGGCGCTAATATATGTTTAACGCCTGCCGTGCTGTATTTGGTGCGATTATTTGAACTCGCGTTAGAATAATCGTTGCATCGAATGATAGGGCTTTAAAGGCTTATGTTAAGCCAACGCCGTACGCGCATTCCAACGTTGCCTCGTTTCTTTCGATTAAATATTTGTCCGAGAAAAGTTAGGATAGTTCTTAAAACCAACGACCATTATTAAATCTTTTCACTTCATTGATCACCTGAAGGCGAGACATCGATGACTTGTCAAAATGCATTTATTTTCCAACTGTTTCCCGTTTTGCCAAACTTCTACCTTAAATTAAATTAATTTTAAATTCGCGCATTCCTGTAGCGGCTTCTATTCGCGCAATCCTTGTGCCTTCTTCACGCGATCCTCATATATTTTCCTCGACCTTTCACGCAATCCTGGATTACCGGATTTAAGCATATAGATCGGCAAAAATAAATAGGATTTGTTGAAACGCCAAATCTCTACGTCCAATATTAACGGAGATCGCCCATCGAAGAGTACAGCGTGTAACATCATATCGACGGTGTAAGTCGGCAATCACATAACTCGCGGTTTGTGAGAGTCACATAACTCGCAGACCTCCTGTCATACTTTATTTTTTAAACGGGGAAACTACTCAACGGCAATTCTTTAAAACTGCCGTAATTTTTCTTCTCTGTGCGAACAAATTCTGCAAAAACTTCAAAGAAGGATGTCAAATTGTTCTCCTTTAAAAAAATTACACAGAGGCGAATATTTTCAGACACCGCAAACGAGATATCGACGGTGAAACTACCAAACCACGTATCTCGTTTGCGGTGTTTAAAAATCTACGCTCACATTTTATTTTTTTGAAGTAGACCAAATCAATATCATTCTTTGAAATTTTCACGGAATTTTCTCCGCACGAAGAGGAAAAATCACAGAAATTTTCAAGACTGGATGTTGAGTAGTTTTTCATTTAAAAAATAACGTATGACAGGAAGTATGCGACGTCGCAAACCGAGATACGCGGTTTGGTAGTTCCACCGTCGAGTTCCTTTTGGGCGCTTCTGGGTACCAGATGCGCCCTTTCCAGCCGTTCGACTCCCCCGATGTAACATGTACTATACTACATACCGTTTTGCCTTATGGGTAATGACGCCATTCTGGTACACCCGGGAAAATTTGATTTTTTTCTGCATCTGGTATTCGTAAAAGTTTTCGTGAAATGTTTTGCTTTTAAGCATAACAATCTCGCACGGACGTATTACCTGGTTAAACTATTTTGGGGCTTCGTTATGCTTAAATGCCTCATATTCGAGGTTGTAGTTTCAGATTGATTCGAAAAAATCACGAACAGTCACGTGATCTCTTCATTTTAGTGACGTATTACTGTGCTATTTTGTGATTGGTTCATTTTCTCGGCGCAGCATCGTCAAGCGTCAGCTGTTTGCAGCTCTGGGTTGAAGGTTTAAGGTTATGTCAGAGAGAATAGAAAGTTAGAGGCCCGACTCGATGCTAGGTAATTGAAACAGATGCGCTCGCAGCGCGCTCGCTGGCAACGTACGCAACTACTATTTTCTATTGTTTTCCAGAGACTAGCGGCGGGTATGTTGCTGCCGGACCACCTTCTCCGCAATACTCTCGCTTGGCCGTATGAAAACGTTCCTCGCATGCGCAGTGTTAAAGAAGCGCCCTCCAACGCTTTGGCGGTGGAACTGCTTGTTTTCGACTTCAGCCATTGATATGTCACGGTGCTGCATTCAGTGTTCTCTTCCATAGTTCTTGAACTGATTTCATCTGTGTTTTGCCTTTTGCGTCAAGCAACCAGTGAAAATGTGTATGTCACTGATTGATGAGAGCAAGGTGGATGGAACCATGGTTTGCACTGCCACCGTGGATAACGTCCCAATCCGTGCTTTTCAAGGAGCGAAATCTCTGTTTATACTGAACGTAGAAACATGGCGTTCGAACAGATCTTATATTTTTTTTGCTGATCTGCAAATGGTCAGTTAAAAATTAAAAAACAGTTTGAAGTCTCGAAATTTAAATAGATGCAAATTTAAATATTGTTACCCACCAGGACACGATTCTGTGACAAACGCAACTGACTCATCGAGGCATGCAAAAACAATGGATGGTTTAAAAAATTGGCTAAAATTCACCCAAAAAACAGAATCCGGTTGGCTTTCAAAACAGGAATTGCATTGTTTAAAAATACTCCAAATTGAGTAAATATGGAAACTAGGTGAAATATTTTATGAACCTTGGAGTTCATGTAAAATCGCAGCCACACAATCAAGTAAATTGACGCATATTAAAGAAAAGTCACCCGGATATGATAAATCAAAGCATGGATTGTGATTTGTTTTATCATAGTCGAGTGAATCCTCCTGACTGCGATCTTACACGAACATCAAAGCTCAGAATAAACTTGATTCGGGTCCCATAATTACTTAGTTTGATTTTTGCCAACAGTGTAAATTCAATCTGCGCGCAAAGACTTAAGTATCATTTAAAAAGTAAGTGACAATATGTCCCATGAGGACTCTTTACGGGGAAAATTTAGAATTTTTGTTCATTGTGATACTAGTTTTTTAGAGACTGGTCTAAAGAGCTGACAAGACATTATGCAAAACATTGATGAGCATGACTTACGTATGCGATGATCATGTTATTGGGCAAATTAAAATTTTATGGCCGAAATTTGTCGAGAGCTCGACTTGCTAACGGTACATATACTCACATTCTCATGAGCTAGCAGAGTAATGACCGATGGCAATAAGAGTCACAAAATGGCAATTGATTGTCACCATTCACTATCAACGGTGATTCTCGGAAATGCGCAACTTCGAATTTCGTCCATTTGAAAATACATATTTGAAAACATAATTAATTTAAATGGATGGAAAATTGTTTCACCAATTTCTTAGATTCACCACTTTTTGCGGTTTCTGTACCGCCCGTTGTCGAGTTGATCGCGGTGTATACATTCTTCCAGTTTACAACTAATACGTCACACATGAGTTTCTTTTTAATTTGAATCACAATGGTATGGACATGGTTAAAAAAATTGGGATATTTAAACATCCCAAAGTTTCCTCCTAAAAAAAAAAAAAAAAAAAAAAAAAAAAAAACAATCGCTTCAAACATCGAAAACATGTTGGTGGCTAATGGAAGTGGTTTGGGTTCAAGGTTCTCTCGCATGAGGAGAGACACTTCATAATACTAAATGTGGGCTCAAAAAGAAGTTCTTTTTACTCGCGAAGATTTTTCAAAATCCGACTTTCTGTTTTAATTTGTTCACGAGGTATAGATGTATTATACCAGATTTGTACAGCCCAGTGTGGTTATGCATAGAACGACCCGTGTGAATATTTTTTCAGACTGATTAGTGAAGAGCTCTCAGTGAAAAACGTGGTTTAATATCTGAGAGAACTACTCAGTTACTAGCTCTGATTTTTTATTTTGGGGGAAGATTAGTGGGCTTGTCTTGCTTGTTTTTGGACTCAGCTTTCAGCAAACAATGTGGGCAAGGGAACGTAAGTCGATCGACGTCACTCTTAACCCAAACATGAGTAGCATATGAAGGCTTGCGAGAGTATTTTCAGTAAAATCTACGTAGTTTTTGTTTTCATTTTCCTCGGCTCCAGACTGATGTTGAAGCCATCTTCTCTTTTCAAAATTATATCTCCTTGTAACCGCCATTCACGCTCCTTCGTGCGGCTATGTACCTTGAAGGTCCTCAAAACTGTAGCTAGAAGAACCTTCAGTTTCAGCATGGCATACTTGCGACCTGGTAAATTCAAGGAGAGAGTAAATGAGTAAAAACAATAATAATAATCAATGATAATCAATTTTGGAAGCCTTTTTCCCTCCACAACGATTTTTGCAGAATATGAGAGAGAGAAAAAAACTTTTGCCAGAGATATGTTGAATTTTTGCCAATATGTTGACTGTTTCTTGATCTTGATGTGAAGTAAAGATGATGATTTAAAAGTCTGTAACCATAAATCTATTTCATCTGCATAAATGTGCGTCCGTGTTCTTTTTTTTATGAGAACTAAGCAAAACATTTCCTCGGAATTTTTTATTTCTGTCCCTCATCTTTAAAACGAAGTATTCTACGAATTCTCGTATTCGTACCATGCAAGCGATGTAATTATTTTGACGTTTAAGAAGCAACAATTGCATAGCTACCAATTTGAAGGAGCCATTAGATTTGTGCCTGTTTTAACACATTTGCATAAAAAAAAGTTACTCATTGGAGCTTCAAAAATTAATGACACTTTCGTTGCCAATTAAAATGTTTTTTGATTAATCTGAAATTTTTTCTTACACTCAAAAGTTTTATTTTCTTAGTTCCCTAAGTGTAAACTACGCCAATTTATTACGCCAGACCTAGCGCTTTTTTTCGCAAATGAGGAAAGCCTTTCGAATCTTTGAGTGCGATCCCCCGATTTACAACTTTTTAACAAGCACCTTATACTTGTCTTGAGGTCAACGAAAAGCTCATTTTTCAATTTCGAGCAATTTTGAACTATTTTCTAATTTTAATTTGTTTTAAATTGTGTGCCAAAGTGAGTTATGGTTTTGCAATCGCATCAGAATGAGGTTATATGTGGGACACTACTCACCTACGCAACTTCTTGGTCCAGCGCTGAAGGGCACGAAAGCGTAGTAATGCCTCGTTGAGGTGACCTCTGGCAAAAAGTTATCCGGGTTAAATTCGTCGGGATTCGGGTAGATGGTCGAATTACGGTGCAATTTGAACGTCCCAATAATTACGGTACTATTTTCCGGCAGGACCGCGTTTATTGACTCTAGCCAAGACAATAAAGAGATTCAACAAATTATTGGTTGTTAAGTAATATACATATGTAACAAAATATTCAACAACGGCTGTTTTCAAAGCAATATCAAGAGGCAGAGGAGCCCAGCAAAATGGGTACATGTAAACAAATCGCGTGTCTATTGAGACGTGCGCTATATTTTCTCCTAAAGAAGGGATGGAAAATGAGTCCTGCAAAATTTTCATTTCGTCCTTTTACTCCGGAAGAACGTAATTACATTTCAATATTGCTGAATTTCTTCTCGCAAATCGCAGTTTTACCAGGAGGATGTTCGTCTGACCTGACTGAAAATGTCACATTTTCCCCTCTGTGATCGCGCTAAAATCAGAGACATTTTTAACAAAGAAAGTCCTGGTATACAATCTTGTAAACGATTGAATTTTTCTAGTCGATTTTGCAAACCTAGAATAAAGGTACGTTCCTTCACTCGGGTAACGACGATTTAAGTTCCTTTAGCGAAAAATTTCGAACCTACAGCCTGATTTTTGAAATTTATGTCGGCACGACATGAATCGAAAATTGATTTATTACAAGGCGCAGATAGGAATATCGACGGTGTAGGTCGGCAATCACATAACTTGGTTTGCGACGTCGCAGACTTCCTGTCATACTTTTTTCTTTAAATGGAAAACTACTCAACGGCAATTCTTTAAAATTGCAGTGAGTTTTCTTCTATGTGCGAAGAATATTCTGCTAAAACTTTAAGGAATGATGTCAAAATTTCTCCTTTATAAAAATAACATAGAGGCGGAGATGTTCAGACACCGAAAACGAGATATGTGATTGCTGACTTACGCCATCGATATGTCTTGTCTTATCGTGCCGACATAGCCAGTGAAAGTTTCAAGAATCAGGCTGCAGGAACTGGCATGGCACATACGAGCGCTCCTATGTATATAGGTGTTAATATTTCATTTTCTGAAGGCTCATAGAGGGTGTACAACACCAAAGGTGAGATTCTCTGCATTATGCAATTGTTCCTATCTAAAAATAACTTACCTAATTTAGTCTCTTGTCGTATTTGCCGGGCAATCATTGGCACTGGCGGATAGAGTCGTAAGGTCTCCATGATACACCTTTCCATGTATTTCATCTCAAGAGTATCCTCAAATGTAACCGGTCGATCCGAGTCTCCAAATATTTTCTCCAATTCTTCGACCACTTTTTCCTAAGCATGAAGAAGAAAAGTTAACGAAATCATACCTAGGTGCAACTACATTCACATTTACGCCGTTCAATAATAAACAATTCAAACAATGAGTAACAAGGCTTTTTTACAAAAATGACACCAAAACGCTTCAGCCGATAACTCATGCAACCGCCCTCGGTTGGATAAAAACAATGAAATTTGTTTTTAAAATCAAAAATTTTACAAGGTACTCGACTGTGCCTTTCAAAACGAAGAGAATGGTGACATGAATGACGAGATAAATGTTGAACGACTTTTTTCTCATTTTGGAGGGTACACCCGAGTACTAAGATTTTAGATTTTTTAAAAAAATTAGGTTTTTCATTCATGAGGAAAGCTGAGTTTTCAGCCGAAACATTTTTGTGTCGTTTGTGTAAAAGAGCCTTGTTAGATCGTATTCGATGGTGACTCGATGTATCGTAACATCTGCTTATATTCTTTGCTTCTATTCTCTGCTTCTATTCTCTGTTCCTATTCTCTACTTCTATTCTCCCCGGTAAAAATTGGCGATAAGAGCTGCGTTTCAAAATACCATAGGAATTTGTATAGCCGGCTAAACAAGGCTACAGAAAATCATATAGCTGGCTGTAGAATGCGTAGAAAATCATACGGCCGGGCTACACGAAGCGATACAAAATTATGCAGCCGGGCTATAGTTCCTATCGCCGGGCTTTACACTTTATCGCCTGGCTGTTGCTTTTTCGCCATCGATTATAAAAGGCTTTAAGAAATTGTGTAGAAATTCGTGTGCTTTGGAAATCATTAAGTTTGATACGGAACCACCTTAATATTTACAAAACACACGTTATATTTTCCTTTAATACACATTTTTTTTTCATCAATTAAAACGAGAGTAATCCATACAGGATTTACAAACATTTCAAAATCATGAGTTGAAAAACGCTGACTCCGCCAGATTAAATATTAGAGCCTAACATAAAGCGGAGCGGCGACGCACTGGCGCCTACAAACCTAACAGGGATGCTTCACGCATTGCGCAACGCGTGAAGTATCCCTGTTAGGTTTGTAGGCGCCAATGCGTGTTTCGCACTCTGCCCGCCAGCCGCGCCGCAGCGTGCCACGGCGTCTGAAGTAACTATTTCACACCAGAGGTATTGCACAGTATCATAAGAAATTGAAGGCGCTCCAACATATTAAGAATGACAGGCATCCTTCAAAAGTACGGAGCTTTCCTCGCAAAATAAATCATGATACTACGGCACAAAAAGAGAGCGGTAGTCCAAAAACTAACTAAGTCCTGGTGTCCGTATTTAGTAACGTTTAGCATACACTTTATCGCCTGGCTGTGAGCTGCTCAATCGCCATCGGCTATAAGAAATTGTGTAGCCGGCTATAGAAGCTATTGGAAATCTTACAGCCGGTCGTAGGTCTATGGTATTTTGGAAAACAGATTCTACTGCCAATTTTTACCAGGGCTCTGCTTCTATTTCCTGCTTCCATTCTTTGTGTTTCTATAGTCTCTGTCCCTCTGTATATAATTCGTTATTTTCCTCATGAAATAATATAACTACGATTCAAGGTCGTCGAATTTTCTTGAAGATTGCAGTTTTACCGGGAGAACTTGCGGATTTCTAACCAAAAATTTCACTGATTTTTCTTTGGCTCACTTGCAATAATCAGACAATCTTTGAAAAAAAAACAAGCGGGAAAGTTCTAATACTGTCGTATTAGAAAAGCGCTCAGGTGTTAGTAAATATATTTAATGAAGAAAAGAAGTATAAACTCCGTCGACTTGGCTGGGAAATGGAAATAAAACATCAGCTGATAGCAAACAAAGGTTACCGAGGAAACCGTAAACGCGTTTTTTCGTTTCCCGAAAATGATAGCCACCGTTGAGCTCATCAGGCGCGTTTTTTTTTAGGCTTCTTTTATTTTCAACGATCAATTTCGATAAGAATTACTCTACTGCTAAGGAAATTTCTTATGGACAAACGATCGAAACTACCTACGCATTACGTTAAAAGCATAAAATACAGTTTTCACAACTTTATTTATTTTAAAAATGCCCCCCCCCCCCAAAAGCCTACACATCGATGAGCTGGTGCGCCGTTTAAACGCATTAGCACTAGTATACTAGTACTCAGAGGCAAGTCGAAATCATAAAGCGCTGCCTATCGGCTGAGCGCTTAAAATTCACGAGTATATTTTCGTAAAGAATTGAATTCTATAATGAAGGTACGTCCCTTCGTCTGGTAAATGAGGAATTGTAACTGGCCTTTCATCCATTATTTTATTTTTTATCCCAAGTGGTGTGATAATAAACTTACTTGAACATCAGGTCTAGCGCCCATCACACATAGGAAGAAACTGCTCGCTGCGGCGGTTGTATCGTGACCCTGCAATTTAAGTTGAACTCAGTAAACTGTCTTCATCGAAAATTAGTGAATAAGAAAAAGACTTTGATTGATAGTTAGTGAGAGATCAAACGAACATAACATCAGCAATCATCTATTAATACGATTGACAGAAAATTTTTTCTAAGGTCAGGGTCGTGATATTCATAGTCGTCTTTAAATGTTAAGGGCACTTTTATCCAGTGCACTTCCATGTAGCTTAAGGATGCCTCAATGTTTAAGGAATGACTATGAATACAACCCTCAGTCCTGTGGCTGTTAATCAATACCATAGTACTTAGCGCATATATCTACTTTCCGAGAGTTTTTTTTAAATTTATCGATTGTTCAAATTCGCCCACTACACATAAAACACCTCTCTTTTTTGAAGGCATTTTGACCTAGCGAAGCATTTATTGTATTATGCATCTAACCCTATGCGGATGGCCGATAACAGAGCAACAAGTCCGGGTAAAAGGTATCCGACCGATAGGGGACTTCATAATAATCTTGATATCATAGGCAGAGCCACGAGGAGCACAGGGAGCGTATCCTTCCTCCCCGCTCTCTTTAAAAACAACAAAAATACCCCTAGGGGGTATTCCATACCTCTCCCACCCCCAGGTGGATTAGGTCAAGAGAAAAGTTGCCCCTCTTTAAAAATGGCTGTCCGCAAATGCTTGATACCAGAGTTTTGTTATAAAGAAAGTAACTTGACAACCATTTGATTCTTAGAATAGCGACAGATGTATATCGTGTGTACATCCTTCAAAAGTGAAATTATGTGAAATAGTGAGCATGTGGATACTTCCCTCTAGTTTAACAGGGAAGAATATAATGGTGTCTTTGGGTTTCTTATCCTGTTCAATGTGCCATTTATTCATGGTTAGGTTAGTGAGAAATGCAAAATTATCTCATTAGATATTGCGCACGATGGGCATTACCTCAAACATAATGGTGTCCACCTGCTCTCGCATTTCTTTGTCTGATAGAACATTTTCAATTTCCGTACACTCCACAAGAAGATCAAGGAACGCTTGTCTCCTCTTCTGACCTGCAAAAGATACGAAAAAGTTTATCAGGCTCAAATTTTTGATACGGTGCTCAACAAAAATTAAATTCAAGTCACGAGTGGTCGTTGGTCGTGCTCGAAAATCTTGATTATATGCGAAGTTTTAGGTAAAAAACTTCATTAAAATAAGCCTTGTTAAAAATAAAAATTCGCGATGAGATTAATGTTCTTACATACCAACGTCATCTACATCCAAGTCATCTGTCAAACCAGCCGACTGTCCGAACGAAGACCCTTTGACCACTTCTGTCTTTTCCGTAGCGGATCCGTTCTCGATTTCTTTCAGTTCTGAGTTTTGATTGACATCAATTAAGCCATTCTTTCTCAGACGATAGTCCTCCTTTTTCTTCTTGATAACCTATCGAAACAATAGTAAAATTCGCTCAGTCGATTCCTGTATAACCGCTAATTGAGGGGCTCGGAGGACAAGGCGCATTCGAGCAGTTTTTGAAAAAAAATTGAGATATTAATGATTTCAAGTACAGCTAGTCTTAATGCATATTCTGTGAAACATTCCTTCCAAATTCCATTTTTTAAGCATCAAAAAGTCAGTTTGAAGTTTCTTTCCACCATAAGAATTCATGTCATTTTGAAACTTCAAACGCGTATTTCTGGAAATAGCAAAAACTGCACTTGTGCGCCTTTTCCCCAGAGCCCCTCAATGGCAGTTTTGATTGAAGGGTATGTCGCATACAGTAGCTAAGGAAAAACGCCGTATGAACCTTCAGGCGTTGCCGAATTTCCCCCGGCAAATCACTAATTTTCAGAAAAATTTGTTAATATTTTTCTGCCAATTTCTCAGATAATTTTGTCTGTAATTTGATCTAAAACGTAAGAAAATTTCGATGAAAAATATGCTTAATTTTTCTCATAAATGAACATTTTATCGAAGGAAATTTGGCAACTCCCGAATGTTCATACGGCGTTCTTCCTTAGCACGGCAGAATAGGTGATGAAGATTCAGACCAAAAAATGCACCTATCTTCTTGCTGCAGTTTGCAACAGACCGATTTTCAAGAAATGGTAAAAACATTTTAACCGTCTCAAGCCAACAATTCAAGCAAAGAGAGGGGGCAAAAAAAAAAAAAAAAAAAAAAAAAAAAAGCAGGTGCGGGTCCTTAGGCGCACGCCTAGTGCGCCTAGGGACGCCTAAATCCCGCCCTGGGACTCATCGAGGATATGGAAGTGAGTCATGCTAATACATAATAAAAACTGAAAATTACAGACGAATAAATTATACATCAAAGTGAAATTCTCACTGAATTTCTCCGTCTCATATTTCTACACTATTCAAAATTATAATAGCATGAGGCTGGCCCGACCGGAGCCAGGATTATAATCGAGAGAAATGGGAAGTGAAACATTTCCAAACAGACTTATGCAATCGGGCATTTCCCATGAATGACTAATTTGGGATTTTTAATCCGATTGACGTTGCAAGAAAGCGATGCCCTTGCTGCAACATTTCGCTTCTCAGAGAGAGGAAGAGGTGCCTGCCCTCTGCCTCTTAGTTATGACCTTGTTTCGAAGGAGTTTCGGAAAAAAACGCATCGTAAAATTAATTGATCTTTGAGGGAGGTTTTGATGTCAGTTTTTAATTGCAGCAGATGAATCCGAGACTACGACGAGACTTCGACTTCCATTCATATTATTGTCTGTATGCTTTTTAACTGTATAAGTTACGTTAAAATCAATTTAGTCAATTTTTGAAAAGGATACGTACGTTCTCCGTCAAAGAGTGAATGAATTTTAAATGTCTTATTTGTTCCTTGGCAAGGCCAGTGAGTCCAAAAATGAAATCTGGGCGAAGCCACAATTTTGTGTGGCGTAGATGCAGAATCTCACACATTCTGGAAGTACAAAAATTTACATGTTTAGATAAGGGTCGCTCAAGGGGTCTTTTTCCTTTCGGTCATCTTCGAGGGAGGAGAATCATAACATTTATTTCATCATTTTATTGTACCTGGCATCCCTCAAAGGTGCTGTAGGGATTTCAATCTGATATAAATTTTCATTCCGGCCCAGAAAAAAAGAAGAAAAGAAAACAATTTCAGAAAGTTACAAAGAAGTGATGCTATTTGTGACAAGAGTTCAGTATTTCAAAATAGAGTCCTTTTCATTTTGCTCATTTAATGTATATTACAGAAAATTTTCAGTTGAAAATTACAGTGCTGTCACTATTGCCACTCAATTCTGGTATGTCTAATGTCAGAATTCCGACGAGGACAGCTTAAACAGGTATGAGGGATCAATATTTTACTTCTGCATAATTCTAAGTAATCTCTATAGCTGTTAGACTTGTATAGCATGAAAATGATGATGTGATATCTTTTTTTGGATCAAAATCATTAATATTTACTAATCAAACTAGCTTTGCAGTTGTTTCTTCATCAAGTTGCTTCTTCCACCAAAAATGTATCTGAGTGAGGAAATGGCAGATATACAATACCACTCTTAATACTGCGCTTTAAATAACAATTCCGTGGAGTAAATAAATTAAAGAGCGTGCAAATATTTTTCACGTAGTCTCGTTCTTGACATCAAGGACCGTTTTCGGAAATTTAATGGACTATAAGATGGGAAAAATTAATAAATCTTACTTCATGACTGCCATTGCATAGTCAAATCCGCTTGCTTTTTGAGTTTTTTTATCGACTCCCATCGCTGTCTCTGTAAGTGAAAGATAAGAAATTAGGATGCTTGCTTACACATTTTATGTGGAAAGATTATCCACAATTAGACGGAGTCGTAATTGAATCTCTATTCAATTACGCCTCCGTCTAATTGTCCAACAAACATGAACACTAGGAACCATGTGACGATTCTAAATCGATGAGTAAAGCCGAAAAATGGCATAGGGGCTTGTTTCAGAGAAATCCAATGGTATCATAGTGTTTCTCGCAAAATTTTAAGTATGAATAAGTACTCAAATTGCAAATCTCTATATCATGCAAGAGCTTCATTGCTTACGTCTCCAAAACTGGCACATCACTTTGAACTCCAAGAGGTTCAAAGTTTTGCTAAACACTTATGAGTTATGCCCCTAAAAAAGAAGGTGAAGCATATCCCATCAAGCTAAGAAAGATATTTCTTTTTCCTGCTAGCTTCGTGTTAAAATAGTGAAGCTCCGAGGGTACTGCTACTGCTTTACTGAGTTGGCCAAATCGTCTCAATTGAAGAGCTGGGTGCATCTGGCATTTCTTGGTTGCGGTGTTTCAGGGTCTCCGTTAACGTTTCATCCACTATAATTGTAGCAAATGCATGGACTTCGTTTAAACTTTTACTGAATATTTTCTTTAGGATTTTACAATGCTGGAAACTAAAATTTTCAGAAAATGTATCCAATAGTTTCCTCCCTAAAATATGATTTAGTAATGGAGATTCTGAAACACCGCAGCCAAGAAATGCCCTTTCTGTACGCAACGTCTCAATTTTCTTTCATTTACCCTGGTGCTCTGTTTATTTTCAATTGATCGACTGAATCTACCGTAGATTTAGGGATTAATTTGAAGAACATCAACGTAATATTCCAAATCTCCTCTGCTTGATACGGACTGAATTACTTACCTAGTAAAATTTCAACGGTACAGGCGCTCATATAGTGGTGGACATCAAACTCTTCGTTTCTCTCCACGCGCATCTTCTCGACCGTGAATCGGCAGTTGGCGTTGAAAAGAGTCATGAAAGATTTGAGAACGTTCAAATGGAACGTCGGAGCGATGATCTTTCGGTGTGCACGCCATTTTTCACCTGTCAGGTGAACAATTTTTAATAATGATTAGAAAATTTTTACGTTAGGCGATGTTCCCTGAGGCCGGTATGTACTCGTAGGTACAGCATTTTTCAGTAAAAAAAGAAAAGTATTTGCTCTGAAAATAGGCAACCCGCGAGATGCCCTGATATTGCAATTTTCCGTCTACGAGTCGTGGTAAATTTCGACACTGTTAAAGTGAAAATTTTCTGCCGTGACCTGCTTACAATTAATTGCAATTAGTGCGATTTAGGAATTTAATTCCAAAAGTAAATACAACTCATCCTCGTGCAGACGACTTTATTCATGCATTCAGGCCTATTTCTCCAAGGGGGGGGGGGGACAAAAAATCGGCAATTTGCCGTAACTTGGCAACGGTGGAAAATTACCGGGTTCCACAACGAGGCAGTGCAACAACGTCTGATACACAGTTTATTGCTAAACAACGACGCATAGTAGAACGAGCCAATTGGCGAAGTCGGACATGAAGTTTGCGACTAAAGCTGCAAAATTTGATGTTTGATTCGCCAGTAGATGAGGTGGAATGAGGAATATTTAATGATGGAAAAGTTAACGGAAGGCAAGAAAATCTCCACGATCCTTCGAGAATTGTAGGCTCGCGTTGTACACTGGTTGGACATGGTGTCCACCGCACCGCGGGTGGGAGGTCTGGTCTGACACCGACAAATTACGAAGGTCAAAGCGCGCACCGTGCTTTGCATGCAATGCGTAAAGTATTCGTACGGTCTTGTAGGCGCTTACATGCGTCGCCTGCCGACCGCGCTGTTTGGTGCAATGCGTGAAGTATTTCTGAAGTCTTGCAGGCGCTAATATGCGTCGGCCACACTGTGTTCGGCACGATTATTCGAACTCGCGTTAGAATAATGTTGATTGAAAGGTCCACGTTGTGTTTGGCCGCCGCATGAGCATTCCAACGTTGCCTTGTTTCTTCCGATCAAATATGTTTCCCGAGAAAATTTAGGAAAGTTCTCTATGCTAGCTTTTTTATATTAAATGCACCATTAGACAAGGTATGAATTTAAGCACTTCGATACATGAATCTTCACTAGAATTTCACGTAGAACACGATTCGCGCAACGAAAACTACTGAAATAAACGCCTTTATTGTACATTGGCCACGAGAAATTTAAATTGCCCGGTCGCAAGAAAAACAATACTCTACGAGAGTTAAATTGCGCCCTGCATCGGCTTTAGCAGACTACTCAATCGAGCATTGTTTCTTTCCCACCCTGTGTTTTTCAAAGTGTGTACAATTTGAACTCAGCATCAAGATTGAGGTTGCCATATTTTCATATTGCTGTGATCGTCATAGTGACGTTTAGCGTACAATTTAACCCAAGTAAATCAGTCTTACTTCCATGAACGGAAAGTTTGAATTTATTCATAAAAAACGTCATTAGCACGGTCAGGAGTTAAGCGAGGGTTTGGATTTCGATGGCTCGACGTCGAGCGATCGCGAGCGATCGAAATCCTCGTTGCCTATTGGCGTTTCACTTTCAATACACGCGTTCTACTCACACGTGTATCTGTCGCTTTAGACCTATTGCCCGGGTGTACAGAAAATCCGACCAGTGTATACCGCGAGCCTGCAATCCTTTGATCGAATAAGAATTGTGGAAATTTCCCTGGTTTTTGTTCACTAATTTTTCTTAAAAAAAAATTTAAACGAGGAAGAAGCTAACTTAATCGCTTGAAATATATTTCTGTCGAAGGAGAAGAAAATTAGGATGGTTTTAAATAAATTACGTTGAGTGGTTTTTATAGGAAAAAATAAAGTATGGCTGGGAGTCTGCAATTTTACAAAAGGAGATACGTGGCCTCGCATTTTAGTCATCAATTTGTTAATATCTCTTTCAAAATATAATCTTCGAAAATCCCGTCGCGTGAATAGTTTTTGATGTACAATTTTTTAGAGGAGACAAGTGACGTATATTTCCACGTCAAACATTGTATAGTGATCCATTATTCTGAAATACCTGCCGCAACGTATCACTATCATCTGTTCAGTTCGATCCGATAGAATAATGACGTCATTGATCGAAGCCCCGTGCTGAGCCAGTGGCAAAGCGTGACTAATTTGAAGCTGTGGTATAAAGAATCGATTATTAAGGGTTCGTTGCGAGCACCCTGTTTATCGATCCTTTTCCATAGGTTTAAATTGCAGATTAATAGATATATCACAAAACACGCCACGCCACTGGGTTGAGCACATAAAAACATCTAAGTATTAAAGTTGTTCTTTAACCGAACAACTTCAAAATATCAGCATTTATAATACTAAACAATGCAAATTTTCAAGGCTGTATTCTCAAAATGAGGTTTGAATTATAGTTAAATCTTTTACTGGAGGATTTTCTAATCATAGGGTTTTGTTTGAGATAGATTACCTAGAACAAAATCCACGCATTTCCAAAAAGGGGCAAGAAAAGGCTCCTATATTGACAGGCTCATTTTGCCAACGATAAACAAGTCCGAATGCTGACAATTTTATTGATACTTTACGCATTTCTACGGACTAGCGAAGCGATATTTTCATTCTCTGACTAGTTTAATCTGCCATTGAAACCTACGGAAGAGGATCGACAAATAGTGTGTTTGCAACGAACATCTTAATGATCGATTCTTTACCATGGCTTCAAATGGGGAAATATCGATCAATCGATCATTCGCGCCTCGTCGATGACTTTGGCAAATAAACTTTTTTGAAGTATGCATCGATTGAACTCATAGTCATACCTGTGCTAATCAACAGTCCATCCCCAAGCCAGGGTTCAAAGAACTTATATTCAGGCGCCTTGTCAATGTGGGAGTAACTGCTTAAGATTATCTGCAAAGAAATATCAGAATTACCATTGATTTCGTGCTTTTGTTCCCCAAGAATCCGTGCATAGGCTAAAAGACTTACATAATACATAGGGAAAGTACGGACATGTCGAAATATGGAGCTTTTCAGGCCCGAAAGGACAGCCAACCTTACTTATTTTGGGTACACGGACTTTATGTCCACTTTGTTTACGTCCACAGACTTTTCGTCCACAATTTTTACGTCCACAGATCTGAAGCCCACACTATTGTTAAGTCCATTACTTAAACGTCCACTAAGTTTAGTCTACTAAAATCAAATTCAAGCGTCATATTTTAGTCCGCGTGTAAAATTATATTGACAATATCGAAATGAGAAAATTAAGAGAGAATGAGGTGTTGTTATCGTAACTCATATTTTAAATGAAATGTTAATTTCTTCTTTTGATTCATCTTTTCAAATTGTCTTTGGTAAATCCTTGATTTCATTTCTATATCCTTGAAATTTCCGATAAAAAATATACCTTAAATGTACATTCTTTTTTTTTCTAATAAAATTGATTACTTCATTTTAAAAACATTCACATTTTTAAAACGTGGTAAATATTTGTAAAACTTTTTCCAAGCAATGGCATCGATATGAATCTCAATGAGCCGTAGTTGTGATGAACGAAACTATACAAAAATTAATAAAAGAGGAAAAAAACTAAGAAGCACGCAATTTTTTGTTTTTAACTTATTTGTACATCTCACCTCCTTCAGTCAAATACATCCAATTTTGAGCGTTTAGTTGCGCTTACACTACGCTGCAGCACAGTAAAAGCCCAAAACATAAAAGAATAAATTTGAATGCTTTGGCAATCATTAAATTTGACACGTAACCACAATTATATCTACAAAAAACACATTATATTTTCCAGTGGTACATATTTCTTTTTCATCAGTTTAAAAGGGAACAATTAATGCAGAGAGTGCAAACATTTCAAAATTATGAGTTGAAAAACGCTGACTCCGCGAGTTTAAATATTAGAGCCTAACACAGAGCGGAGCGGCATGTTAGCAGCGCAGAACGCGCACTGGCGCCTACAAACCTAACGGGATACTTCACGCATTGGCAACGCGTGAAGTATCCCGTTAGGTTTGTAGGCGCCAGTGAGCGTTCTGCGCTGGTTGCCTGCTGCGCCGCAACTCTTTAAGCAACTATTTCGCGTCAGAGGCGTTGCACAGTATCCTACAAGATTGAAGGCGCACAAAATAACTAGTTAAAGAGGGCTTTCAATTTTGACTGCATCTGTTACTGAAAAATGTTTAATTTGGCGCCGGCGCGTTTCCTAGGCTCCCGCTTTGGTTTTCATCTTATCACATCCGTACAGTGTACACATGAACATGTGTTTTTATCTGCTCTTAGAGTCTGTTCTCTTTCATGACTTGATTCATGAATGAAATGTTTTTAAGAATGAAGGTAGTAGAAGTATGCATTTATTTTTGAGGTGGTTCGTGTCATTTAAATGAGAAGAAAAACAAGCGGGAAAGTTCGAATACTGTCGTATTAGAAAAGCGCTCAGGTGTTAGTCAATGTATTTAGTGAAGAAAGGAAGTATAAACTCCGTCAACTTGGCTGGGAAATGGAAATAAAACATCAGCTGATAGCAAACAAAGGTTACCAAGGAAACCGTAAACGCGTATTTTTGTTTCCCGAAAATGACCTAACCGTTGAGCTCATCAGGCGCGTTTTTTTAGGCTTCATTTGAGTTCAACGATCAATTTCGATAAGAATTTCTCTACCGATAAGAAATTTTCTCATGGACAAACGATCGAGACTACCTGCGTATTACGTTAAAAGCATAAAATACAGTTTTCACAGCTGTATTTATTTTAAAAATGGACCCCCCCCCCAAAAAAAAAAGCTTACACATCGATGAGCTGGTGCGCCATTTAAACGCATTAGCACTAGTATACTAGTACTCAGAGGCAAGTCGAAATCAAAAAGCGCTGCCTATCGGCTGAGCGCTTAAAATGTGGACATAACATGTCCACAATTTGGACAATTTTGGACATATTCATTGTTGGACATCAAATCATGTGGACTTAATAAAGACTGGACCTAACGTTTAGTGGACATTATTAGCGGTGGACATTTATTTAATGGACGAAAGGTAGGTGGACATAAAGTCCTGGAAGCTTATTTTGGCCAGAATTTTTTAATTTCTGCCCAATATGGTTGAAATTCTGCATTTCTGGTGAGCAAGCGCTTTTTGCCTTGCCTATGGTCCATTTGATTAAAGAACCAATAATCTTCATATCTAGTATCCAACCGTATATTACTCTATGGTATAAAATCACAAGAAAATGCATAACGAATAACAATTGAGGCGCGAAACACTGAAGGGGATTGAGCCACAAACCTGTCGGAGGGCGTACCCTCTTTTTTCTTTGATTTGATAATTTTTCTTACTGGTACACCCCCCCCCCCCCCGTGAATTGCTTAAAATTTAAAATATTTGTCTAGACGAAAATACATTACCTCAATATCTCGAGGATCCGTCAGTGCAACAAATAGTCTGGGACCAAACCAAGCTTTTATCGGAGTGCCTTCTTTGAAATTGAAGCTCAAGGAATATGCCGTCTCAAACATTGCTGTGTAAAGAAAAAATGAAACAGGTTAAATCAATCAGGCTAATTTATATGATTCATTTAAAATGATGATTTTCCTCTTATCAACGACAGTACTACAGAAAAAGATTCGCAATGTAAATAGGTCGCGAGAGCACGATGCGAACTTTCTGATGCGTGTCGGATCCAAGACAGTAATTTTATAAGAAAGTACGCTCGCAAAAAAACGTAACTGAATTCCAATGTTGCCAGATTATTCCGCGTAACTTGTCTTATTACCAGGAGAATTTTAAGATCAGCTAACTGAAAATTTCACTTATTTTTCCTATGTGATCTCATGAAAAAACTGGACAAATTTTTGACGAAAATTATGCAGGTAAAAAAATTGCATGGTTATGCAGGTTAAAAATTAAATTGTTTGAGTTTATTTCGCAACCTTGGAGTGAAGTTTCATCGTGCGGGAAACGACAAACTCTTCGCGATTAGTAATGCGAATCTGCCATGCTAAGGAAGAACGCCTCATGAGCCACTAGAGTCATCAAATTTCCTTTGATAAAATCAATTTTAAAGGAACTTTGAGAATATTTTACCTGGAATTTTGCAGAGAATTTTTTTCGCGATCAGATCTAAATTATCCAAAAATTCAAAGAGAAAATATTCATAACTCTCCACAGTGATAAACATTTTATCGGAGGAAATTTGGCAATAATCGAGTGCTCATGCGATTTTTTTTCTTGGCAGTATTGTCAAAGGGTGAGTTGTTTTTGAAGTTAATGAAATAATTAAATTCCACTCAGCCTCCTTCATTGGTGAAATACATTTTTGTTATCAAAAGGCAGGAGTAAATAAAATGTTGATGTCAAACGCGGTAATTGTTTTTGTCAAATCTTTTACACAAGATGTGCATGACTCTTATCAAAAAACATGAGGGCAACCATGAGGTTGAGTTATTCGAACTATTTCCTTTACTTAAATTAAGCTCGAGGTATTGCTGTTTCGCAAAACAACAGGTGAAGGGGGAGGAGGGTTGACACATTAGTAGGGGGACGTGAGAAAGGGGCCTCTGAAGAGACCTGTCCCACTGTCCCCCGAAGATTCACTCCCCCTTCCCGAAAAGTTGTAATCGTGTGGAGCCACCCAATACCATCATACTCCTGTGAAAAGTAAATGGTCTCCTGTCCCCTTAATCTACCACTTCCTATCCATTTTAGTTTTCAGCAACGCTCATGGTATTAATCAAATAATCAAATAAATCTCAGAGATCTGTGACATGCGCATGCGCACTGCGCCTTAAGTCAAAGTGTTATCCATTATAAGGTCATTTTCTTAACATTCTGAAATATTGTAAACTTTTTGGTGCCAAAACGGAGCTTGGGATCAAAATATGTTTAAAAACGTGCCGAAATAATGAGTACAAGAAACAACACCATAATGTGGCCCGAACTGTATGCGTAACGAGGTGGTAAAATAGCGCTGGGTATTTTCATCTTATAATGCTGGTATTCTAATGCATCTGCCTGAGCTAGACCCCCCCCCCTCCCCCGTTTTGTAGTGATACCCATTAGAGCTCAAATTTTTTATTGTAATTGAAATTTTTGGAATTTTTTTACTTCTCTTCCCCCACAAAATAGTCTGGACCCAGCAATATTTTACCACCTTAATAGTGAGTGCTTAGTAGGCATTTCTTCAGTCATCTCAGAATTTTACAAGATTTAGCTAATTAAAGTGATCCTACAAAGACTTGTCCATGAGTCATCGCTTAGGACTGCACTGATAAAGGTATTTGCATACTTAGCTACATAAACGAAGTTGGATTTCGGAAAGTCTGTCGTCCAGAGATGGTGGTTTCGTACAGTAAAATTTAGTCCAATGAACATCAGACAACCTTTCTCTTCTCAATGATTTTACCTCAACAATCCCGGTAAAAGTGGCATTCTGCTGTACTGAGGAAAAACCCCTAAAGAGCTTCATAATGTTGCCAAATTCCCTCTCAGAAAATATTTATTTTCGAAGAAAATTATGACTATTTTTCCTTGAAATTGTCTTAAAAACACTTCAGATCAAATTACGAAGAAAATTGTCCAAAAAATCGAAAGAAAAATATTCACAAATTTCCCTAAAAACCTTTGATTCGTCAAAGGAGAATTGGCAACGTCTGAGGGCTCATACGACGTTCTTCTTTAGCATGACACCATTGCTGACTTGTTATTCGGGCCGATCTTACTGCCCTTGGAATGAGTGTGATTAAGAGCTTTCCCTCTCAATGTCCGAGAGAGAATAAAAAATATAGGACGAAAAAACCAATAGGAATTTAGAGTTTCTTACCGTTCGGATTGCCGACGAGCACGTGAGCGCTGCCGATAAGAGGGAACCCCTCGAAGCCGGGGATTTTAGCCGCCAACTCATAGAGTCGCCTCCTGGTGAGTCGGAAATAAACATACCACAACACGAGGGCGGTCGCGGATAGCCACACTAGGGCGCCGGACATGGAGCTCGGCGGAGATACATGGAGCCAACTTCCCGTCGCGGACATGGTGTCTCGGATGACAGGAGGGAGAGAAGTAAACAGAATGAGATGAAAACTGCACGGGTGAAATTCAGGAGCACAAGACCGTCTTTCATGGCAAGGAGCCCGGCCGAAAGATGAGTGCGGTAATCGCTTGACCACGGTGAAGTGAATTTCTGAGAGCGGGCCCGTTTGGGAAAACTCATTAAAAGAACGTTAATGGGAGCATGGTTTTAGGACCCGGGCCAAGGTCACGGAGGGTCTATTGTTGCCGGAAAACTGGGCTGCATTTCATTTCGCTCACTCCTCTGGGGACACGCTCTCGTGCCGCAAATATTCATATTCGTCGCTTTTAACATGCTACTCGAAAATTAACGAACATCGATTCGTGGGAGAGGCGGAGGAAGCCATTTGCATGAATTGGGCCGAGTTTATCGGAAAGGAACCAATCCACGTAAAGTTGAAACTGAGAAAAAGAGGTTCGAAGTTTTGTTCCTCCGTAAGACTCGATGTAGGAAATAAACTTCAACCTCTCTTTTCGCAGTCTATTTTCGACTTTGAGTTTATGGCATAGGAGAAAATATACGACCCGTGAGACTCAAAAACATTCTTAACTCAATTTTTTCGAAAATATGGGTTGATCCCTTCCGAATAAACTCGGTCCAATTGAGAGATAGAATAAGAGGTTATCATACTTTAGTCAACATCACGAAGAAAAATGTTCCTTTTGATCAAAGGAAATTCTAATTAATAATATCCGGACGAGAATTCTGGTTGAATCAACCGGAAATCTCCTTGTTTCAGACGGTATTTCTGTTGCTTCAAAGAGACGTCTTGTCACATTAAAGAGATTTCCAGTTGACTCGACGAGAATTGAGGTGCTTGGAGGACAAGGCACATAAGTGCAGTTTTTGAAAAAATTAAAATATTTATGATTTCAAGTAAAACTAGTCTTAATAAGTATTCTGCGAAAGATTCGAGCCCTAATTCCAATTATTAAGCATCAAAAAGTCAGTTTGAACTTTCTTTCCACCATAAGGTTCTATGTAATTTCGGAACTTCAAACACGTATTTCTCGAAATAGCAAAAACTGCACTTTTGCGCCTTGTCCTCCAAGCCCCTTAATTCTCGTGCGGGAAATATAAACTGGAAACATTTTCTCAGTGAATGATTATGGTTTTGACGGTGGCAGAAATTCGCATACAAAAATATGTGAAGCGCTTGGTGTGTAATTCTTTTTCTAACTCATAAATAATAAAGAATAAAAATAAAAAACAAGCAGTGAACTCCAACACAATGTGTTGATAAGGCGCGTCATTAACTCGCACATATCAACCCCTTTAGTTTTCATTTACAGAGATTTCAAAATAGGCAAACAGCATAAAAAGAGAATTCACGATCCAACACTGCGAGGTCAAAGACGCACCTTGACGAGACCGTGTATTGTGAAAGTAGAAAGCTATTCGATCGAATTTAAGTTTTTTGATCTGCCTCAAGCAAAATCTTATCAGATTCTTGAAGAAAAGTGCTACGGAATAATTTAAGCGAAGAAAGGAAAAATTCTGTCGAACTCCTAGAAGATAAAGTCGATTTAAAGGTATTTTGGGGCTAAAATACCCAAATCACCGGTAGTAAAAATCCCGTTATATTATTGAAAAGAAATTGACTCGATATAAATGCAATTGCATTAAATACGTCTTGATTTTGTTATTTTAAACGTCTTTCCATGCAAAGAAGTTCAACCATGTCGTTGCTTTATTCATTCATGAATTGAAAGTAAGCAATCTACATCCCGAAAATCTACTGATTTGCCGTAAAAAATTGCAGAAACTTGATATACCAGGTCGATGCACCCACTCGTTGAATTTACCAACCAATTTTGTGAGTGCA